AATACGACATCCAGTACGCTCCGCGTCCAGCAATAAAGGCGCAAATCCTGGCAGATTTCATTGCAGAGGGAGTAACCCTCGAGACAGCACCGGAAGGAGTGTGGGAGGTTTATGTAGACGGCGCGGCAAGCAAGCACGGCGCCGGCGCGGGGGTAGTCGTGCGCACACCCTCAAGTGTTGTGCACGAAATAGCGATCCGGTTCAGAGCACTGAAGACAAATAACGCCGCCGAGTATGAAGCCATCTTGGCGGGAATGACGGCTGCCAAGGACTTGGGCGCTAGAACAATCAGAGTACTCTCCGACTCATCGTTGGCTGTCAACCAACTGAATGGAGCCTTCGATGCCAAAGAAGATGCCCTCGCGCATTATATGGAGCGCGTCAAGCAACGAGCGACCACCTTCGAGGCGGTGACATACGTGCAGATACCAAGAGAAGAAAACATGCACGCCGACGCGCTATCAAAACTGGCAACAGCAACAAACTTCGAGTCTACACGCCTAGTGACAGTACAGAAGGAGGAAGAGGAAACCAATCAAGAGTCCACGGTCAATACCACCCAAATCGCGAAAGACGACTGGAGAACCCCGATCATAAGGTTCTTACAAGACGGCGTGGTGCCAGAAGATGCAAAAGAAGCATGGGCCTTGAGGCAGAAGGCGGCCCGATGCACAATAATTGGCCTGGACTTATACCGACGATCATATTCCGGAACATATCTCAAGTGCATCGGGAACGACGAATCACGCAACATGGTGCGAGAGCTGCATGAAGGAATGTGCGCGATGCACGCCGGGGCGCGCAATATGTAGCGCACCATACTGTTACACGGGTACTATTGGCCGCGTGTGAAAAAGGATACAAAGAAGTATGTTGACGAATGCAACAAGTGTCAATTACATGCGCGCCAGCACCACCTCCCATCGACCGAGTTCCAAGGCAACCTGAGCACCTGGCCCTTCGCACAATGGGGAGTAGACCTTCTGGGCCCATTCCCAACAGCAAAAGGGAAGCGCAAGTACATAATAGTGGCGGTGGATTACTTTACCAAGTGGATCGAGGCGGAGGCGCTGGCCTCTATAACGGCGCACCAGGTAACTCGCTTCTTAAAAAATAATATCCTGGCGCGCTACGGAGTCCCGAACGCATTCATCTTCGATCATGGCAAACAGTTTGACTGCGCGGAGGTCATAGACCTCTGCGACCAAGTGGGAACCATCACGAGGTTCACATATGTAGCCTACCCCCAGGCCAACGGCCAAGCGGAGGCAGCCAACAAATCCATCTTGCACGGCCTCCATACGAGATTAGGCGACGCCAAGGGCAACTGGGCGGATGAGCTCAACACGGTGCTATGGGCGCATCGCACCACCTACAAAGTAGCAACTGGCGAAACCCCGTTCGCGCTCACCTATGGCACAGACGCGGTTATACCCATAGAGGTAACGTTTCCAGCATACCGGATCATGGCGTACAACGAGACAGACAACGACGAGGCACGACTGCTGGACCTAGAGCTAGCACAAGAACGACAAGAGTTGGCAGCCATCAAACTAGCCGCGACTAAAGCGCAAGTAGCCAAATACTATAACGCGAAATTGGTCCCGCACAAATTGGCGCTCGGAGATCAAGTGCTACGCAGGAACTTCCGCCCCAACCCCAAACACGGCAAGCTCGCATCAACATGGGAAGGCCCATACCTGATCCGAGAGGTTGTCGGCGCCAATACCTTCAAGCTCAGCGAATTGGGGGGCAACAAAATCCCAAGAACATGGAACGCGCAGAATCTCAGGAAGTATCATAGCTCAAGTTAATGTAACATTTGTGCACGGCCACAAGAAATCAGTAATAATATTGGCTTCCCAGTTATTCGCGCCTTCACAGTTCGAAAGAACAAACAATAGCAATAACTACGAGTTATTCGCGCCCCTCTTAGTTCGAAAGAACAAAATCTAGCAATGACTACGAGTTATCTGCGCCCTTACAGTTCGAAGAACAAACAATAGCAATAACTACAAGTTATTCGCGCCCCTCTTAGTTCGAAAGAACAAAATCTAGCAATGACTACGAGTTATCTGCGCCCTTACAGTTCGAAAGAAATAACAATAGCAATGACTAAGAGTCATTCGCACCACGGTCACTCACGCTACAAAGGGTAGTACCCAAAAGTCATGCGAGCCAACACATGAACAAAATAGAAGCACTTTGGATTTCCATACGCGGAAAAAAAAACAACAACACAAACAAGCGCAAAACAACGCTTCTACACTTGAAACCTACGAGGAAGACTTCTCAGCGGTAGTATCAGCGGTAGTGACGGCCACATCCACATCCGCTGCTGCGCCTGAATCTCCCTTATCCTCCGCTGCAGCGGTAGCTTCTTTACGCGCCTCACCGCCGTCATCCTCCTCATCCCCGTCTTCCCCCTCCTCCCCCTCCTCATCATCTTCTTCCTCATCATTCTCAGAATCCAGCTCCAGTGATTTCTTCTCACGCAGCCAAAGTTGCACATGCTGCACCATACTGCGACTGTTCCACCGGTAGCTCGGAACCTCCGGCCGCACCTTCTTGCCAACCGCCGCGACCTCCTTACGCGCCTCACCGCCGCGACCTGCGCTTCACGCACAGCTTCCGATTTGGCCACATCGTGAAGCCGAACCAAATCCCTCTTCTCCTTCTCAAAATCCTCCCGAGCCTGCTTCATCTTTTCAGCATGATCCTTCACTAATTGGCTCTTCTCCCGCTCCCGCTCCTCCGCCAAACGTTTCTTTTCCCCCTCAAACTCCTCCCGCAACTCCCCTCGGACCCGAGTCCGCACTGCCTCCAATTGCTCTTCCAGCCGGCTCTGCAAAACGCCCAGCTGCTCTAAAGCATCGTTGGCCTTGTTGGTAGCCAACTCGGCGCGACCCTCAGCTCCAGTCAGCTTACCTTCAAGCTGCACGATCCTCGATTCCTCAGCCTTCATCTTCGCGCGCTCCCGGCTCCGCTCCTGTTGAGCGCGGAAGGTCGCCAGCAAACCTTGTACCCACAACGCCACAGGACTTAGTACAAATAAAAAAAAAAAGAGAAGAGGGGCAACTCCTGCAACTACGCCAATCTTACCGCGAAGTGCACTTGCGCAAGGTCCTGAAGCGGATCCGACTTCTCCAGTCGCGACGGGACACTCAGAAGGGGTCCCAGCGCCCGGAGGGCATTGTTCGCGGCCGCAACATTACATGCCGCGCCCGTGTGGATCCGCAGATCGCGGAAGTAGTCAATGGCGCCACCAGCCATCTGGGGCAATTTCTGCTGAATTGTAGCCCCAGATGAACCACCAGCCGCGCTACTTTCCGGCCGAGCGCTCCTATCCACTGGGGCCGTTGGCTCAACAATTACAAGCGGCTGTTGTCTCGGTGTCCGCCCAGATGGCTCCACAACGCGAGCAGCCTTCGCAGGATTCTCTGCAACCACGGGCTGCTCAACCTCTTTCCTCTTCGCGCTCTTGGGCCGTGCGGCCTCTTTCCCCTTCCTCTTCCCAGCGCGAGGTACCTTCACAATGTCATCAACCGACATCATACTGGCCAAGCTGGAAAAATCAACACCTGCGCCAATAAACCGTAAGAGGGCGGTTAATAAGATAGAATGCAAAATGAAAGAAGCACAACTAACCATCGTCAAAAAGTTCTTCTAAACAAGCTTCGCGGACTCCGCCATCGTATAAGTTGAACTTCTGATGCATGCACGCTTCGTACTCATCATCGAGCTCAGCGTAATGCCCCAGGTCTGACTCATACCCATGCGTGCCGCCCTTCTTCCACTCGGTCGGCTCCGCCATAAATTCACTCGCCCACTCCCCGAGGGCCGGTTTAACATAAAAGAAGCACTCAAACCAAGTCTTTTTCAACTTGGGAGAGCCATACACGAATCCATCAGGTCTCTTGTCGCGCCGCTTGATAGAAAGGCAGTCGCTCCTCCTCGTAGGATCCTTGATCTTATAAAACTTACGGAATAAGCCGTAAGTCGGCTCAATCTTAAGCCTCTTGCACGCGAGACGGAGGCAGCTCGCGTGCATTATCACCGAAGGAGAGAGGCACCCAACTGAACAATTGAGACGCCGATACAGGGCGCATAGCAAAGGGTCGATGGGGAAGTTGAACCCCATCACCCAGTTCTCAGTATACACCCCAAACCATCCCGCGGGACAGTTCCCAACCATACTTCGCGCGGACGGGACCGCGTACTCCCAATGGGGGGGCAAGCCTAACCCACGCACTATGTTCAGCACGTCCTGGTACCCGTAAATGGACGCGTGATCAGGTCCCCCTAAGAAGATTATCACTGGGCGCGCGCTGATCGCCCCACATCTCCGCCCAGTCAATCACGGTATAAGCCGCGCCCACACCTCGGAAGCCCAAGCGGCTCATCGCTTCCGTGATACGCGCGGTGCATCGCGGTTCTGACTGAGTGTCAGATCCTTCGCGCCTCTCCGATTCAGCAACCCCAAATGCACCGCCGCGAGGCCGCCGGACAATCAATACCCCCAGCGCACCGGCGCTAGCCTGGCCACTCCCGGACGCAATGATCCCCTCGTCGGGTCCCCAGTCATCATCGATGTCGAGCGATGGCGACGGCGCCGAAACTACATCACCACCGTCGGCTCCGCCGCCATCCCCATGCCCAGAATCATCCAAATCCAGCGAAGGATCGGTAGAAACACGTGAAAAAGAAGAGGGATTACCTTCTTCGCCCTGCACGACCTCGGTCTCGTGAATGTTGGTGCTATCCATTACAATACTTCGAATCAGCAACAGCAAGATGAGAATCGAGGTTGTAGAAGAAGGAGAGGAATCCCAGAGACGGCAAGAAAGCACAAAGAAACAGACGAAATTTTCCTTTTACGAAAGCAAAGTGAGTTACGACTTCTGGGCAGAAAGGGGGTATTTATACTCGACAATGGAAAGCTGAAGGGTTAAAGTTGCCTCGAGAATCGCAACCGTCAGAGCCTTTTCAAATTTCAAAACGGCCGCCAAAACCGACCAACCGCACACGGCCACGTGGCAACCTACCATCCCTAGGCACTAGCCGCTGACGTCATAGCTTCCGCACAGCGCCTGGGGGGCAGGATACGCCCACAAAGGAAAAAAACACGCTCAAAAATAATACCAACTAGGAAAGCGTCACGCACAACCAACCCAGGAAACTTGCGGAACACTACCACTGGGGGGCAACGCGAAACCAGAGGCTTCACCCGCAACCACCCCAGGAGATCTCGGACACTCGCGGAACACAACCGATGGGGGGCAACGCGAAGATGTCGCGCACAACCAATCCCGGAGATCTCGGACGAATGGGGATCGGGCGAAGGAAACACCAGTTGTACGCGCCACCGACGATCACGCGAAGACCAGTGCAGACGCTAGCTTACCCATGTCGCGTCAATCATAATCAACAGACGGAATCGCGCAGATCTGAGTCACTCGCATGAAGATCAAACAGGCGGCATTCGCGGAATACCCCCTGATGGGGGGCAATTGTTGGGGATGTGACTCGGATCTCAACGCGCCGAAGAAATACCTAAGGATGTTCACGTCAAAGCCAACGCGCGAGCCGCGCCAGGTGAAAGCGCGAGTGCAGAGAATGGCCCGGAAAGACCGCGCATAAACGCCAAACGACGGCGCTTTGGGCAAGCGCGGGCCCTCACCGAGAAGTATAGTAGCGGCGCCGCGTCACCCAAAGGGTAGTCAACATCATAGTCCTAGGTATAGTCATGGCTAAGGGTCTTATCACCCCTAGGGATATGGTCTTGGTCCCTGGCATGTCAGAGGTCATGTCACCTTGCCGTAGTGGTCACGTCATCGTACCGTTATGTAACTCACCCACCACCATGTAGCCTATAAATATGGCATTTACTCCGGTGGGTGAGGGGATCGGATTTTTCGGACTCTATCTCTAAGATCATCACTTTCTCTCACTAAATATACACTATCTCTCAACTCTATCTGCCCTCACAGTTATCTCAAAGTTCTTGTTCGACCGAGCCGTTCATTCTTCTCGACCCATTCTAGCGAACCTCACTCCTACACTCAGTTAGGTTCAAACACTTAACATTGATTTTTACTATTTAGTACATGTGTACCGCAATGATTAGATGATAGTTTTATGTGAAAAGAAGTATTCCTTTGAAAGGTAACTTTCCGTTTTCACATGTATAAATAAATGTCTGTCATAATTCTTTTTTCACACGAGAGAGTTCTCCTTCCTCTTTCCGTTTTTCTTCTCTATTTTATAAACACAGAAATATGTAAGTCGATGCTTTAGATTTTGGTTGAATAGACTCATGGGAGGTGGTTTGCCTAATCCTACGAGCATTTTTAGTGGGGCAAATAAACAAGCTAGGTAGAGTGATTAATTCACGCCTTCAATTCGATCATTCCTACCAAATTCCTGAAAGAAGCTCACTATGAGCAATTTCTGCAATCGTTTGTTCTCTCTCTACCTCTAATCTTCTCGATATGGTAGCCTAATTGTGACGCCAACGCTATATCCGTTTCTTCTCCAATTTTATGAATTTTCCTTCCTTTATTCTAGTCTATTCTATTCCATTCTCTTCTTTGTTCTTGTTGTCTTTACTCTTAACAACGACAAGGCCCGTTGATTCCCAGAAATCGAATCCTTTGATGAATTAAAAGCCATAATGGCTAAATTTTGAAGATTCTTAGCTGAACTCATTACCTTCCACCTCTAGATGGAGTCTGCCTACCTTCATCTCATCGAAACTTGTGCTATGGAACAGTTGCACAGAGTTAAGCTGGACACCGTTGGGCTAGGCGCAAGCCTATTTGACCTAAGGCCCACATCGCCGGCAAAGCCCGACAAAGAAGGCCCAAACAGCAATGCTGGCCCTAGGCCCCTAGCAAAGCCTAGGGATGGCAAAAATATCCGTAAACGTGGATATCCGCCCGAACCCGGCCTAATCGGGTAGGGTAAAACCCGAACCCGAAGGACATTTAGTGGGTACGGGTAAAACCCGAACCCGAATATTGCGGGTAATGGGTGGGCATGAGTTTCTCAGTATCCAACCCGAACCCGCCCGATTATACACATACATATGTATTTTGTCTAGAAATAGTCATTATTTTTCTATAACATATTTTATATTTAGCATATAAATATAATATTTTCATGAAATTGTGTTGTTTTAATTAATTTTCTTCATTCTAGTGAATTATTGTCATACTTTTCCTCTTGCATAATGTGAGAATACGTGTGAATGTTAATATATTAGTTGGAGTTATGAAGAGAAATCATTACCCATGGATAACCGTGGATACCCGAAACCCGAACGGGTATGGGCATGATTTTAATTTTCTACCCGTTTCATATGTGGGTATGGGTATGGGTAAAACTCGAACTACTTTGGGTAGGGTAACGGATATGCACTATCCGTCCCCGACCCGACCCATTGCCATCCCTAGCAAAGCCTACTTGTCCGACGAGTCATTTAACTTGCAAACATAACGTCAGCATTGACACAACATTAAATGTAGTCGGAGGTGTTGTACCTGAAAGTAAGGTCCCTAACAACTAACATCATTTAATGCTCACTCTGAACAACATTTGATGATAACTCAATGCCACTCTATGATTAGAAAATATTTTCTTTATTTTCTCCGATTGTTGGAGATCAGTGTCCCGGCTTCCGCCTGTAACATATCAGGCTCAAACACACACAATCTCGCCTATAGCTCGCATCACAAGTAAGCTAAACTCTTCTACAATTCTCCTCAAATCGACATGGGTTATAGAATGAGAATCTAAGTTCAAAGCAAAAGTCACGAGACATCGTTATGTATGATTATTACGTAACCTGAACAAAGGAAAACAAACTCATTCAAGTTGAGACAAACCCACATATAAGATACGGCTTTCAAGATGTAGAAGAAAAACTTCCATTTGACGAACTAGAGCTCAATTTAATTAAAATACATAACAAACAAAACTTGTCTGACAAATCATAATAAAACATAATCATGACATTTAGCCAATATTTATTTATCTTTACGTGAAATATAATACATATATATCAAAATCTAAACTTTAAAGGGTTATAGGTATAATATGCCCCTTTACTATGACGTTTTATCAAACATGCCCCTCTACTATTTTTTACATCAAATATGCCCCTATACTTTGAAAAAATTATCAAACATGCCCTTCTGTTAAAATTTTCATTGAAAAAATCGTCAATCGTGGTTGAACCAAGATTTAGATGACCCGACATCGGCAAATGGGAGGAAAAATGTCAGTTTTGTCCCCTGTTTTATTTCCCTGGGTCTTTTCAAAGTGAAATGATTTGAATGATTTGATTATACAAAAGAACGAAAAAAATCTAAAGTGAGTTTATTATGGATTTTTTAGTCATTTGTGTCCCCCAAACTAAAGTTCGGCCTTGGTTAACGGTTTTTGGATGAAAATTTTAACAAAAGGGCATATTTGATCATTTTTACAAAGTACAGGGGCATGTTTGATGTAAAAAATAGTAAAGGGGCATGTTTGATAAAGCGTCATAGTAGAGGGGCATACTATACCTATAACCCAACTTTAAAATATTATAAACAATGTAGTATTAAAATCGGTAAGGAAAAAACATTCATCATCCTTACTCTATGCCGTAAAAAAATTTGTCAGCCAACATACTCGAAATTTAGTTGAAGGACAATCTTAGTTACTCCATAAATATAATTAAACGTCTATCATGTACTCACCATGCTAATGCATGCATAAAACCACATAGATGCATCCATGAAAACCTTGTCCTACTTCATGATTTGTCATTTACTACTATGGTTAGTTCATATTAAGCAAAGTAACTGCGAATGATACATATAACTAATTACTCTATAAAAGTAGGAGAAGGATAAAAAAAGCTTTAACGTAAGTCCTAGCAAAAGGAGAGACTTGTCTAATTGACAATTGGAAAATGTGGGTTAAGATGAAACCCTTTTAAGGTAAGTTATAGTCAAAGTGAAAACTTTGCCTAATCGACAACTAACTAGAAAAACGTGTGTTGAAAAATTGGATAATAAAAGCTAATTAAATATAAAAACAAACTAAAAAATTCTAGAAAATGGATAATCATCAAGCATAATAAATTGCAAATTTAACATCAATAATTTCATTTGTGAACAAAATATTTGTATAGACCGTTATCATATTTTTAAATAATTATCGTGAGATTATATTTTTTATGAATTGGTTGATTCTTGCATTTCATCAAAGGAACAAAAACTTGCTGGCAACAAGCTCTGCCAACTGAGCATCTCAGACATATAGACAAGGAGAACAAACTACTGCTCTATCTCAACTAACAAAAAACAGGAGGTATCAATTATAAACCCTTGTAATTAGAAAAACTTCTCAACTATCACTGGATCAATAAACAATCTGAGCTCACATTTAACCAACAGGATCAGTTCATTCATATCCAACACTTGTCCTCCAAATTTTACTTTACATCTTTCTCGCCAAATGGTAGCATAGACCAGGAAACCGGATCGTACCGGCCGGTTCAACCAGTTCAACCGGAACTTGGACCAAAAGCGGTACGGTGGGCTGATTGTGCTGATTTTACCGTGCCGGCCGGTTTTTTCGGTTTGACCGGTTGAATCAGCTGGTATGATCCGGTTTCCTGGTCTATGATTCAGCTTCATTTCTCCGTATTCTCGTCCAATATGTGAAAAATAATTAAATTGAATATTATTTTGCTATTTTTCTATGTTGAAAATGGGTCACCGTGGTTGTATAATGCTCTATTTGGTTCTTTTTTTGATGGATTATATTTTTTATACTATCGCATTTCATTTCTCTATCAATAGTGAAAAACGGTATTTACCGGTACAAAACGGTTGAACCACGGTCGTACCACAAAATACCATACCAGAAAGGAATCCGGTATGATGTCCGGTACGGTTTCCTTTACCATGAATGGTAGCAATCAAGGTCTGCCAAATTACTTCCCCCCCCCCCCCCCCCCCCCCCTAGAGATATTAGTTTTCTTATTGAAGTTCAAGGATGCCCATTGAAGTTCTTCAAGCCATTGATCCCCAAGGAAACGACATGTGTAATTACCAAACAAAGCCGCAAACAGTTGTCTGTACACACGACACTCAGCAAAAACATGAGACCTCGTCTCCATGGAACAAGAATAGAAGGTGCAACCCTGACCACTAACCCCCATCCCTGTGTTGTATCTCCTGTTACTATATAATCATTCACGACAAGCCAAACTAGAAACTGATTTCTAGGAATACATGTTCCTTTCCAAACCAGAGAGCTCCAAGAAACAAGACTTCTCTTTGGTCTGACTTCCTCCCACACTTTCTTTATGCTGAATTTCTCCATTTGAACCCCTTTCCAATAAACACCATCAGCATTCACAGAGATCCAGGGTCTCAGTTTGTCTCTACACTTTAACAACTTTAGCCATAGTCAGGAACCTGCCTTAGCAGTTACAGCCCAGAAATCCATCCTCTTGATTCTATATTCTCAAATCCAAGCAACCCAGAGAGATCCTTGTTTCAGTAGGATAGCCCATATGTGTCTCATAACACAAGCAAAGTTCCATGAAGCCATGAAGCCATGTCCCTAAGTCCCAGACCACCCTCTGTTTTTGGATAAGTGATTCTAGACCAGGCCACCACTCCCTTTTTCCTAGCCCCATCACCTACCCCCAAAGAAAATCACTACACAGTTTTTCAATAGTTCTAATGACAACCTTAGGGAGGATAAAGATAGACAAACTGTGTGAGGCTATACAAAACAGACATAACCAGTTGGAACTTACCAGCATAAGACAAGGACTTTGACTTCCAGCTAGTAATTCGTCTAGTAACTCTTTCAATCAAGGGCATACAAGCTTTCATAGTGAGCTTCTCTGCCAGCAAGGGAAGTCCCAAGTAACGAACAGGGAGTGTCCCCAACTTGTAACCAGAGAAACTTGCCATTTTTTTCCTGCCATTGCTCACTAATCCCCCCACAGTATAATTCACACTTTGCATGGTTAGAATGAAGACCAGACATTATCCTGAACTGTGACAAAATTCTCTTAATACTTTGAATTCCAGAGTTAGATCCATCAGAGAAGAGTAAAAGATCATTAACAAACATAAGATGAGGTAACCCGAGTCTCTTGCACATAGGATGAAATGGTATAGCATTCTACTGGACAGCTTCATCCATAAGGCAAGAAAATATTTACATAGCCACTGCAAACAAGTAAGGGGAGAGGGGATTCCCCTGTCTCAACCCTTTTTTGGCAGAAAAGTAGCCTACTGAACCTCCATTGAAACCCATGCTCAACTTAGGAGTAGTCACACACATTCTCAACCAGTTTAAGAACCTAGCAGGGAATCCCATAGCTTGCAACACATTGAACAGGAAGCCCCAGTCCACTGAGTCAAATGCCTTCATCAAATCCACCTTGATTAATGATCTAGGAGATATGTTCTTTCTACCATATTTCTGGACCAATTCATCTGCCAGCAAAATGTTTTCACCAATAACTCTACCCTTAACAAAAGGTGTCTGGGATTCACTAATAATACTAGGCATAACAGAACTTAGCCTTGTTGCTAGTATTTTAGCCATACACTTATAGAGAATGTTGCAGCAGGAGATTGGTCTATAGAATTTCATTTCCTCAGGGTTCTGAACTTTGGGAATAAGTGCTAAGAGGGTGGAATTAATGCTAACAGGTATATGAGACTCATGAAAGCAAAAAAGAATAGCATTAGTTACCTCCACTCCAATTATACTCCAAGTAGCCTGGAAAAAGCATGCAGGGAAACCATCTGGACCAGGGGCCTTCTCACCATTATAACCAAACAATGTGGAGCGGACTTCCTCAGCAGTAACATGGGTACATAATCCCTCAACTTGATCAAGAGGTAACGTTTTCATCAAGATTCTTCTTAACTGGTCAACTTCAGGAATAACCACTTATTGATCCTTCTCACCCAACAACTTCCTATAGAAACACTCAGAAATTTTGGACATTCCATCTGTATCAGTAACCCTTGTACCAGTATCATCCAACAAGGATCTTATCATGTTCCTCTTCTGCCTGCTTTTGACAGAATTGTGAAAGTAAGGAGTGTTGGAGTCACCTTCTTTAAGCCAGACTTCCCTAGATTTCCGATGGAAGAAAGATTCCTCAGCTTCTCTTAACTCTTTGACTTCTTTTGCAAGTCTAAACTCTACTGCAAAAGTAGACGGAGAAGGGTGTTTTAAGGCCTCAGCTTGAGCTTCCATAAGTTCTGCCGCTTTTAATCTAACCCTTTCGCTCATATCAGAGTACACATCCTTATTAAGCTTTTTAAGTAATCCTTTTAATATCTTCAACTTCTTACAGACACGAACAAGAGGAGAACCCTCCACTTTCGACTTTCAGGCCTCCTCAACCAGTTCCATAAAGCGAGGATGCTTAAGCTAGAACTTAAAAAACTTGAAGAGCTTTGGTAGAGACTTTACTGAGCTATCAGTATTAAGAAAAATGGAGTTGTGGTCAGAAACTGAAGGATCCAACATATCCACAGTACTAGAACCTAACCCCCTCAAGCCATTTTGTATTAACAAACACACGATCCAAGCTCCTGGCTATGGGGTTACCCAACTACTTGTTTATCCACGTGAACCATGGGCCAGAAGATTTATGCTCTTCCAGATCACAGTCAAATTGCCAATGCCTAAAATCAGCCATACTACTAGAAGACTAGGGTGCATTAGATGCCTCACTCACATCACCTATGGCATTAAAATCCCCCAAGACTGCCATAGTGCAGTACTAACTTGGAGTTGTTTCAAGTCACTGTAAAGGATTCTTCTGTCCAACTCTTCATTAGAAGCATACACCACCGAAAGAAAAAAGCCACCCCTGAAGCTACCATTAAGTGAATGAACTGCTCCGTCTTATGGAGAACATTGAGCTTAACATTAGACTTCCAGATCAACCATAACTTGCCCAACCCCGCAGGGTTGCTAGACACTTTGAACTCCCAGCCAGGAAACCGTTTATGAATCATATCATCAGCCTTGGCAGCTCTTACTCTAGGCTCTAATATAACAGTATATCTATACTGTATCTACTAACTAGCTGTTGCACAACTTTATTTTTATTCAGGTCATTAAATCCCCGGATATTCCAAACAAGTATTTTCATCGTTTCTTACCACCCTGCCCCCCCCCCCCCCCTTACGAGGATCAGCAGGCTAGCAACTCGAAGTGTACTTGGCTTCCTCTTAGAACTTCCAACAGTTATCCAATGATTAGGTTCCATCTCCTCTTCTGCTACAGGTGTCTGAGGAACTACGCTCCCAGAAACTGGCGAGGTAGTTCCAGCAGGCATTTGCATCAGTTGACTTGGACTCCCAGCCTGAGCTGATGATCCAACAACAACATCAACATCAACAAACCTAGCAACATCACTCCCATTTGATGAAGGAGTAGGAGCTCCCTGCACTGAAATAAGAGACAGATCTGCAACTTCCTTCCACTTGGAAACCAAATCAGCAGTGACCACAATCTCACTTTCCACAGTAGAAATCTCAGACTGCATACCATCAGAAGAAGCATCTTGAACAACTAAAGCTACAGTACTAGCCTCTGAGCCTTTGTTGTCTCTTTGACTACCCATCTTTTATTACTCAAAGCATTAGCTGAACAATCGTGACCATAGACTTGGCAATCCGGGCAAACTCTAGGCAGATTCAGATAGTCAACATCAACTTCAAAACACGGATCATCATCAGGATAGAGACGAACCTTTGAAGGGAAACCGCACTCCTCAGTTAGATCCACACAAACCTTAGCAAATCCCAGTTACCCACCCACCCTGGTCGTTTTATCCATCCAGAGAGGCGGCCCAAGCGTGCTGGCGACCCACTCCAAACCTTCAAGCGAGTGATACTCCAGTGGTAAATAATAAATTTAGAGAAAGCGATGGAATCGACACGATGTTTTACGTGGTATCCCCGAATGACGGGACTAGTCCACGGGAGAGCCTCGCTCTCCAAGCTGAATTCTTATTTGTTTTCTTGGTTATGGCCGTCGGCCGTACATGCATCTTTATACCCTTTTCTACGAGCCTTTAGGGCAACAGTACAAGGACAATCAACTAAGCAACATAAATGGGTCGCAGCTCCAAGCTTGTGGGAAATATCTCGGCTGGGCTTGTCACGAGACTGGGCCATGTCCAATACTCCCTCGCAAGTTGTGGCGTGAAGATCACGAACGTATAGCTTGGATAACAGAAAATGAAAACGCTTTGCGCCGAGACCTTTGGTGAACATATCAGCAAGCTGGTGATCGGTGCGGATCTTTAAAGGAGCAATGTCACCGAACTGAACTCTTTCCCAAACGAAGTAGCAGTCCATCTCAACATGTTTGGTACGCTCATGAAAGACAGGGTTAGTCGCAATGTGGAGGGCAGTCTGATTATCACAATGAAGCGGATTAGCGCCAGACTGCGGGACTCCAAGCTCGCTCAAGAGCCAACGTAACCAGAGAACTTCACTGACTGTGCTTGCCATGGCTCTATACTCAGCTTCAGCAGAAGAACGAGCAACAACCTGTTGTTTCTTAGTGCGCCATGAGACGGGAGCACCACCAAGAGTGATCACATAGCCAGTAGTGGAACGTCGGGTGGATTGACAACCACCCCGGTCTGCATCACAATAGGCAACCAAATCAAGTGAGCTTGTCATAGGGAAGAAAATACCTTGTCCCGGAGCCTCCTTGAGGTAGCGAAGTATCCGCTGAGCAACATCCATGTGAGCTCGAGTAGGAGCATGGACAAACTGACTAAGAATGTTGACCCCATAAGTGATGTCGGATCGAGTAACTGTTAAATATAACAAGCGGCCTACTAACCGACGATAGGCTGCGGGATCAGGATGATCAGCCGGCGCTGGGCTGGTGAGCTGATGGTTCTGTTCCACGGGGAACGCACTAGGGCGGCAACCCAAAACACCTGAATTATGTAGTATGTCCAAGAGATACTTGCGCTGGCTAAGAACCATGCCATCTGGAGTGCGCGCTGCCTCGAGCCCAAGGAAGCAGCGCAATTGCCCTGGTCTTTGATGCTGAACCAGGAATGAAGAAAAGCCTTAACATGAGAGATAAAATCAAGACTGGTGCCGGCAAGAACGACATCATCAACATAAATGAGAGCAGTGACATGAATACCCCCCCGTCGAAAGATAAACAATGAGTGATCCGCAGGAGAGGATCAAAAAGCCAACTCACAGAGGGCGGCTGTGAACTTATGATACCACTGTCGCGAAGCTTGACGAAGACCATAGATAGATTTGTGAAGTTTGCATACTTGAGTATCCCCAGGCGCAACAAAACCTTGGGGAATACGCATATATACCTCCTCTTCCATATCACCATAGAGGAAAGCGTTGTTGACATCCAACTGATGAATATGTCAGCCCTTACTGGCAGCAATGGCAAGCAGACAACGAACAGTAACAAGTTTGGCAACAGGAGCAAAAGTATCGTGAAAATCCACACCTTCAACCTGGGTGTAGCCTTTTGCCACGAGTCGCGCTTTAAAATGCTCAATGGTACCATCGGGTAGGAATTTCACCTTGTACACCCATTTCGACCCAATGACACGTTTGCCGGGAGGTAAAACCACAAGGCTCCAAGTGCCATTTTTCTCAAGAGTGTGGACTTCGGCTATCATGGCCTTGCGCCAGCGTTCGTCCTTGACTGCCTCATAAAAAGTCCGAGGTTCGGGATTATGAGCAACCGCTACAAGAAAGGCACAATAATTAGCCGAAAAATTATCATAATTCAAGTGATTGGACAAAGGGTATTGAGCATGGTGAGTGTCATTCCCTGTATAATAAATGTCAAGCTTCTTGGGAGGAATGCATTGACGATCACTGCGTCTCAAGGGAGGTGGAGCGGCCTGAACTGGAGAAGGCTGATGGCCTGCGGATAGATCCTCGGCGGGCCGTGTGCGGGCCGAATCCATAGGACGCGCAACAGGGGGCCGCGTCTGGGACGAATTGGCCGGCCTCGTGATGCTGAGCCGCATCTGGGCCGGTTGTACCGGGCTTGAGAGCGGTGATGAGGAGCCCTCGGTTGGGCCTGAGAGCGTAGGATTGCTAGGAGCAGGGGACGCGACAGGTGGGCCGGGCCTGGAGGGGGAAGCGGGCCAAAAGGAGGTGGCCGGCCGAGAGTGCTGTTGCGCCATGGCCTTAGAGGGCCCAGCATCAGGCGAGGCTTGTGCAGGGGATCCAGAAGAGTCACAAGTAGGCCGAAGGAGCTCATTGTCAAGAGCTACTGTAGGGTGAGAAAAAACGTCCCGAGGAATCCAGTGGAAATGTGATGATGTGTCAGATTGAAACGGGAAAATGTCCTCATAAAAGACGACATCCCGACTAGTAATGATGCGCCGAGCATCCATATCGTAGGCACGGTAACCCTTTTGACTAGCAGCATAGCCAAGAAAAAGACAAGCACGACCACGCTCATCAAACTTACCAAGGTGGCCATGTGTATCCTTACAGTAGACGAGGCAACCAAAGACGCGCAAGTGAGAATAACTGGCCGGCTTACCAAAGATAACCTCATAGGGAGTCCTCCTGTAGCAGTAGTAGGCAGACGATTTATTAAGTAGGCTGCAGTGAGGACACACTCACCCCAAAATCGAATGGGCAGGGAAGCCTGAAAACGCAACGCTCTAACCGTCTCAAGGATGTGACGGTGCTTCCGTTCCACAACACCATTCTGTTGTGGCGTGTCCGTACAGGATGTCTGAAGAAGTATACCTGCATGTTCATAAAACGCACGTAAATCGATGGTATTAAACTCCTGACCATTGTCTGCCTGTATGCACTTGACCTGTTTACCAAATTGGGTGCGAACAAGATTGCAGAACAAACGCAGATATCGACCAACTTCAGATTTAAAACGAAGAAGATATATCCATACTCCTCGGCTAAAATCGTCAACAAAAGTCAAAAAATAGTGCGCCCACTAAGTGATGGGGTGTTGTAACCTCCCCAAATATCCAAATGCAACATTTCAAAACAAGAAGAAGTACGAATCCCACTAACGGGAAAAGGTGTCCGAACTTGTTTAGCCCGAGAATAGGAATGACAGAGATCATTATTCAACGTAGAAAAACCAGGAATGACGTTCTGAAGTTTATGCATGACCGACGACGAGGGATGACCCAAACGGGCATGCCAAGGAGCGGTAGGTAGGGTCACATCCTTGGCAGTTGTGTGCGCCTTAACCTGCTGACATCCAAATAGGCGGAGATAATAGAGTCCATCACGAATCTCCCCCTTCCCAATCACTTTCCTGGAGTGTAAGTCATGTATGATACAAAAATCACCAAGAAATATTAACGCAACCTGATGCTCTTGGCATAACCTGCTCACCGATAACAGATTGCACCGAAATTCTGGTACATATAAAACCCGATTAAGAACCATCCCATCTTCCAACCGAACTGATCCCACTCGCCGTACCGGAATACTAGCCCCATTCGGGATACAGACGGGTTGACTAGGAACACTCGGTTCATGAGAAAATAAAAGAGAATCATCCATGGTTATATGAGCGTTACAGCCTGAATCAAGTAACCATGCAGGTCGATTAAGAAAAACATACGTATCCGCCATGTGACTAGAAGGATCAACGCCATGGGATACCTGTCCACCAAAATATTGCTTCAAAAGCTCAAGCTGCTGCATCAAGAAACCTGGAACGGGGCTCGTTCTTGTGGCTGCTTCAGCTAAGGAGGCTCGCGGATCACCCCGCTGGGAGCGAGAGTGACCATTATCGCGCCTTGAGTCCCGATTCCGCCGACGGTCTGAGCGATCTGATCTCTCGGACTTCTTGTCTCGATCACGTTGCGGCCAGCCGATGAGCTCGTAACATGATTCTTTAAGGTGTCCAGTTTTAAGACAGTGTGTGCACTGGGGTTTAGGTCGCTCCCCAGCACTGTCACGATCACTAGACCCGCGGTCACGAGGAGGCCAATTGCCAGAAGAAGTCCTGTCGACATCCCTGCTAGTGGTGAAAGCAGCAGCCTCCTGCGTAGGTTTGCGATTTCTGGGTCAAGGTCCGCTGCTGTTCGTCGTTATAGACAATGCGGAATGCCTCTGGTAATGAAGGTGTGGTAGTCATAGATAGGATGTGACTCCGAACCGTAGCAAACGATTCGTCAAGTCCCAAGAGGAAATCGAGTCTCAGACTCTCATTTTGGTCGCGGCTACGGCGCCCACAGGAGCAGATCGACGGCGGCAATATGGACTGCGTTTCCTCCCATATCTGTCGGAGGTTGGTGTAAAAGCTAGAAACAGATTGTTTCTCTTGCTGAAGTAGGCTCACATGGCGACGAAGCTCATAGGCCCTCGTCAAATTCCCTTTGCTGAAACGATCTTAGAGATCTTGCCATATCTCCCACGCCGACTTTGCGTGCATAACGCTAGTGCGGAGCTCGACATCCATAGTTGTCCGTAACCAGCCATTTACGAGAGTATCGCAGCGCGTCCAAGCTCGGAACAGGCAGGAGTCGTTAGGCGGACAAGGAACCATCCCATCAACAAATCCCAATTTGTTTTTGGTGACCAAGGCGTCCCGCATCTCAAGAACCTATTCGCTGTAATTAGATGGGGTCAGCAAGCTGCTGACGTGCAGATGGCATGTACTATCAGATTGATGAATGAAGTAGGGGTTGTGAATATCGATCTCTTTGTCTCCAGAGCCAGAACTAGTCGACTTCGACGTTGGCGGTGTCTCGAGACCGGATTCTTCGCCAGCCATGATGCAACGGTAAGCCGGATCGGATCACAGCTCTGATACCATAATAAATTTAGAGAAAGTGATGGAATCGACACGATGATTTCCATGGTATCCCCGATTGACGGGACTAGTCCACGGGAGAGCACTCGCTCTTCAAGCTGAATTCTTATTTGTTTTCTTGGTTATGGTTGTCGGCCATACATGCATCTTTATACGCTTTTCTACAAACCTTTAGGGCAACAGTACAAGGACAATCAACTAAGCAACATAAATGGGCCGCAACTCCAAGCTTGTGGGAAATATCTCGACTGGGCTTGTCACGAGACTGGGCCATGTCCAATAGTAAACCTCTGATAGTCACCTAGATGGGTAGAGACTCCACATGCGGAGTCACTGGCTGAATACACGGACCCATTTTCTGAGATAGAGCTGATTACCCTGCCACGGACCAGAACGGAAGACCCACTGACTTGTGGACGAAGATGGGAACTGAAAAGCGAACAATCGATCACCAAAACGGGAAACACGAACCATTCCATCTCTCCCCCAAATTCCAGTAGCCTAGGTCTGGAGCTGTGCTACCTTAGGTTGAGCCTTGACACGCTCCGGAGGACGAAATTTCATCCTGTTTTCCGGAGCGATGTCAAACAGTTGTGCCCAAGTACTAACCCCAGAACGTTTGCCCGTCGCCGGAGCAGATTCCGACGACGAGTCCTCCATCGCGATAACGAGGAGATTATATTTTGGGATAGAATAATATGTGTATTATTATAAAATATAAATTAGTGACAAAATATATCATGTGGTTTTGTGATTCAATGACTCACTCACCACCAACACAAATTTTATTTATCACAAAAATAGATGATCCACACTCATCCACCATATCCATCCAAACATCGTATTGGATGGGTTACAATTTGGTGAATTAAGGGTTCGTTTGCTTCAAGGATTTGGTACATGGATTTGGTACCAAAAAACCAACTATCAAGGATTTAGGTACAATCCGTTGTTTGCTTGCATCTTTTTTGGAGACCAAATCCGTGGGGCCCACGGATTTTAAGGGTCCAAATCCGTGGACCCCACGGACTTATAAATCCCACATGTTGATGTGGGATTTGGAATATGGCATAAATCCTTGATGGCATTTTACCCATATACCCTCATGCACTTTTAATATTCCAAGGTTGCCCTCAAATTTAACTATTATACATTATAATTAACAATAAATGAATAATATAAACGTTCAATTAATGTGCAAACATGAGTTAGATTTTTTATATAATTTCTTGTGTTCTAGTTTTCTTTGACCTTTTCATGGAACGTGTAATTCTTTGTTCTCCCGATTCTAATATATGTTGTTATATGTTACTTTTGAAAAGGAGGACAAAGAATTGGTAATTGATTATGTTACGTTAAAAGTTAAAACGAAATTTTCTCGTTTATTATTATTGTCCATGTGGCAACATTATGCTTATTAGTATGTATTGTCCTTGTTTTGTGTACATATCATAAACATGTCAAACATATAGAAAAGGGCAGTAATGTAATTTTTTACTTCAAGTAGTAAATCCCACACTTTTAAATCCATGATAAAAACATCCCAACAAACAAAAGATTGTTACAAATCCATGATGCCTCAAATCCTTGATAAATCCTTGGGTTTTTAAATTACAAAACCCTCGTTTATAAATCCATGAAGCAAACGACCCCTAAGTGAGTTTAGTGGTTGACCCACACATTGCACATCCTTATCCATATATATATGGAGTCCAAGGTTAATAGAATACAGACTTAAATGGTCTGATTAAAGCCCTGGTAATCATTTGAACACCCCGATTTGGTGACGTTCGGCGTTCTGCAGGACCTTCCAACATCGCGGTGGTGGGTCATTGCCATTGGTGGTAGTGCAAAGCAATTAGTCGTTTGAGGCATCTTCTTGTTTTGGCTCAACTTGTGTATGTGGGGTGTGATCTCAATTTATCTTATATATGTGCTGGATTTATGCTGTGATGCACTTGTTTGAGACTTTGAGTTTTTTTGGGGGGGGGGGGGGGGGGGGGTGGAGGGGGTTTTCTTTCCCAATTGTTTGGTAAGTTGTCTTTCCATTGGGCGGCTCATCTCCACTTTGTTAACTTTCCCGTTTACAACAAAACTGATCTTGTCATTTAGGAGACACAACAGATTCCTTTTACCACTTCTCTTCCCCGAGCTTTATTCTCCATGGGCAATTGTCCTCTCCTGCAGCCACCCACTCCATTCGTACGGAGTGACCAGAACCACAAACATATTCCGTATCCCCTTTCTGCTCCCGAGCTTGCTCTCCATCCATGCCCACGAATTATCACCCTCAACAGCCACATTGATTATTCGCGTCTCTGTAAACTTTCTGTGTATTCGTTTAGTCAGCAGCAATGGATCTTCTTCACCCTCTCCTCCTCTCGCTTCTCGCCGTCTCTACTTGCTTCCTCCTGAAATTCGCCCACTCCGCCATCTGGGTTCCCTTCGCGATCCAGCGCCACTTCAAAAATCAAGGAATTTACGGCCCCGGTTACCGTCCGTTCTCCGGGAATTCGGCCGAGATCCGCGGCCTCTTCGCCCGAGCAGCTCGGTCAAAGCCTAAGTCAACGCCGGCGGCAGGAGGATTCCACCACCGCGACGTTGTCGCCAGGGTGTCCCCATTCTACCACGAGTGGTCGCGCGCGTACGGGAAGACTTTCTTGTACTGGTTTGGGCTCAGGCCCAGATTGGCCGTAACGAGCCCGGAAGTTATCAAGGAGGTGCTGTTGAACACGGGCGGGTCGTTTGGGAAGGTCCGGTTGAACCCGCTGTCCAAGCTGCTGTTCGGCGAGGGGCTTATTGGGCTTGCGGGTGATAAATGGGCCCTTCATAGACGGATCACAAACCAGGCCTTCAACATGGAGAGAGTTAAGGTACCAAAAAAAATCCAGTTTTTAGTTTTTTCTTGATTCAAATCGGTAGCTCGATCAGAAAAACATGTTATGGGATGTGAATAGTAAATGATATTTAGCAGTAAAAAGTAGTTGAATCATCCTTGCCTTCAGGCTATCAAAATAATATATCTTATTAGTGACTTTTCCTATACAAACTCTACTACGGTATTTTATGCTAAAACTGTGATTATAATTGAAATACCATATTAAATATTGTACCGAAAAATTAGCAGTAGTGTGTTTTATATTAAAATCGTGATTTAATCATCGTTCATCCATTAAATATTTTTTACCGATTTAGTCTCCCATAAATAGTTTTTTGATCGAACCACCGGTAGATTCTGGTTTTTGAATTCTTGGTTTTTACTCACTTACTTTAGCTCGCCGTCGTTGGTTCCTTATTTGGTCGTTCCGGTGGCAGGAATGGGTGCCGGAGATTGCGTCCAGCGCCGGGAAAGTGCTGGAGAAATGGGAATCCATAAGAGGAGAAAGGGAAGAGTTCGAGATCGACGTCCACAAAGAAGCCCACAATCTGTCGGCCGATATCATCTCAAGGACCGCCTTCGGTAGCAGCTTCGAAGAAGGGAAACGGATCTTCGCGCTCCAGGATCAGCAACTGGATCTCGTCTCTCTCGCCCTGAGAAGCGTCTACGTTCCAGGGTTCAGGTTCCTGCCCACGAGGAAGAACAGGGAGAGGTGGAGATTGGAGAAGGAGACTCGGGATTCAATTAGGGTTTTGATTTGGGGGAACGGCAGGGGATTGGGGGATTCCAGAAATCTGCTGACTTTGCTGACCACTTCGCACAGGAATCAGGACGATGTGATAGACGAGTGCAAGACGTTTTACTTTGCAGGGAAAGAAACGACTGCTAATCTCTTGACTTTTGCTCTGCTGCTGTTGGCGAATCATCAAGAATGGCAGGAGAAGGCTCGTGAGGAATTGTTTCGTGTATGTGGAAGAAGAGACCAACCTCTCGTTGCAGAGAATCTGAGGGAGCTTAAGATTGTAAGTCCCGATGCATTAAATCTCAGATGAACTCTAGACTATGAAAGTTTTGAACTTGGCGGTAAAATAGCTCACTAGTCCCTTCTTAAGAATGGCTGTTTGATTGATCTTAAGAATGGCTGTTTGAGTCACTGCAGTATGGAGTGGAGAGAAGATTTAGGTAGGGGGAAAGTTTCAACCAATGTTGGACATACCATTTAAAGAGGTTGTTCAACTAGTAGATATACAACTGATTACTGGTTTCGATTTGGTCGAATGTAGTGAATGAACGATTATATCGGTTCCATTTGTAACTCGCGACATGATGAACTAAGTACTGATCCATTGTGAATTTGTGATGAGTTTGGTGCTTAATGTTGCCCTTTGACGAAGTACTAACGATATGATCTTCTTATCGATTTCCTTTTTTCTGCAGTTGAGTTTGATAATCAACGAAACTCTGAGAATGTACCCTCCAGCAGTGATGATAATGAGGGAGGCCACCAAGAGAGTCAAGCTGGGCAGCCTGGAAGTTCCTGCAGGAACACAACTCTACGTCCCTGTGATAGCCATTCACTACGACCCTGAAATATGGGGTGGAGATGCTCATGAGTTCAATCCTTCACGGTTCGAGGAGCCTCGAAAGCATATGGCTTCGTTCTTCCCCTTTGGAATCGGTCCCAGGAACTGTGTGGGTCAGAATTTGGCGGTCGTTGAAGCCAAGATAGTGTTGGCTACCATCATCGGGAGCTACTCTTTCGTACTGTCCCCAACTTATGTTCATTCCCCTATGGTTTTGATCAGCTTGCAGCCTCGGTATGGAGCTCAGATTGTGTTTAGAAAGATTTCTGGAAATGGAGACTCATAGGCGCCGTGTTGTTAGAGATGGTTGCTTGTTCACGAGACTAGTGTACGATTGCAATTTTGTATGATTGTTTGTATTGTGGAATATCTAAATGGTCAGAATCTGTACATTGAACTCGTCAACACCTTCATCATTCATGTTCAAAATTTTTGGATTCCTCTGTGAGGTCACACCCTATGGCTGGCGGACTTCATCAGTCGACAGTCATGTTCAAATTTGTGGATTCCTCAATGAGGTCACATCCTATGGCTAGGCGGCAAGCGCCAAAGGTTATTGAGTTGGCATTCACAACAGTCTTGGAATCAACAGCTAGCTTGTTCAACAATCTCATAATCCTCCATTTTTTTGTTGTTGTTTGAAGTTGTGATCAATTCTTTCTTTGCATAGTGTATCTAATATGCGCATAATATACCCGAATCGATTTCAAAGCAGTTTTTTCTATGACTCTTTCTCTAATTCCTACTTTTCTTCCTAAAAAAAAATTATACTTGTCTTAACAACATTCATAGAGAATGTGTTTGGTGGTTTCAATCAGGCCACATAACCGACACTCGGAACCTGCCTGAGCACTGGATATGGATGCTTTCGATGAATTACCAAAAAACGAAAGAAGGGTGAATCAAAATAAAGCTCTATAGCTTTAACTTTCTATAACCGAATAGCCAGAAAGTGGTGTTGACGACAAGATATTCTAATGGACGGGGAAAAGCAACCCCCAATCAAACCGCCTCGAGAGTAATGAAGTAGCTCGACTGCCCTTGTTTAGTTCATCACTTCATTCGGATATAGAGTTGTATTCCTAGTTAAAGGACCAATTGACTCATTTCTTGCCTTGTCTTGGGCATAAAAAAAACATCTTCACGTATTGTTCGGGGAGGGGGCGGAACTTGAAGTCGAGTAAGACATTATTCCACTTCTCGATTCTTTTACCAGCCAACAGTGGCGGAGGGAGAGGGTTAGAGAGTGGTTCCCCGGACCCACTCTGGCTCGGGAGGAAAATGATAAATTACGTATAATAGTTAATCTGGTATTAAAAATAATATGTATTTAAATGAAAATGATTGACCTTAGAATACTTGATGTATGATTTCTAAGTTGTGTATTGAGATATTCAATTTTTATAACGAGCTATGTACAAATGAAAATGGTGCATATGATCCATGCAAATTATAGCTAATTTGTAAAAATAATTTTATTTCAATCAGAATAGGGAGAGTGTAACAGCCTAACGAGTGGATACTAAGGACGAAAATGAGTAAATTAGTTTAATAATTAATTGAGAATGAAATTTAGGACATTTTTTATTGAGAATGGTTGGTCGAGAGATCATGTGTTCAAATCTTGAAGTGCCCCATTTGTTAAGCACATGATATTTGGATTTGTGAAATACTAAATAGTTTAAGATCTATTTTTAAATCTTTCTCAACCACTCGAGTTATTGATACTAAACGATTTTGACAAAGAGCAACATTAGAAAGCAAATTTCTAACTAAATCACGAATGATTGTTTGACACATATAAAGTAATATATTGATAGTTTCGACACATATTTAATTTACCAAGTTTTGTAAATACAAAATTATATCATGAATGATTTAAAAAACTAATAATTTTTTTTATCGTATGCATTTTTTCCTAAATGGACACACCCTCGACAAAATCCTAGCTACGCCACTACCAGCCAACCAACGTGATAAGCAAGAAGAGCGAACATAAGTCATCTTGTTGGTATGAAATGAGGCTTTGTTGCAAACTATGAAGAAGCAAAACAACATCAAATTTCCTACTATATTTGTCTTTGCGATATTTACTATTTTTTTATGTTTCGAATATAGTACATCTTTTTTTTAACTATAAGAAACTCACACTTTCACACCTGAGATTGTATTACCGAGTAGTATCTTTCCCCAAATTTCTGAAGTGTCCAACTTTTAGGAAAAAAAATAGAGCTAAATCACGTGTAAACTTCTCCAACAGCGAGATATAATTTTGATTCTGCAGAAATCACGTGTAAACTTCTCCAACAGCGCAGGTCAATCATAACACGAAGGAAATTTCTGTGATAAAAATATGAAAGATCTATTTTCGAGGAAAGTCATCCCAATAAGGAAAATGAGTTAAATTGTTATTAAGATTCCAGTCTTAGTCGTTGTCAGTAGCGGGAGAGCAGCTATCATTTGATTTGGGTATTTATTTGGCGCATCGGCCAAACTTTATGATCGCTACCTAACACCCTCTCACCTGTGTCATCGATTCAACGCTCTCACTTTCGACAGTCTCGCCCAATTCAAATCTCTCCAGGAGAAAACCCATTTCCGGCAATCAATTTTTCTCCAGGGGAGAGGCGACGGTGAGAGAAGAAGGCAGTCTGCCAAAGAATGTCGGAAGTTGGCAAAGAGGCATGGCGGAAGTATCTGATTCAGCTCCAAGCCCACCCTCTCCGAACCAAGGTCTCGTAATACTGTATCTCTGCCCATCTTTCTACTCTTTTTCGTGGGCTCCAAAGTCTACAAACATTTCATGCTTTGTGGGGTTTTTTTTGTTTTGACATTTACCAGGCAATAACTTCCGGGGTATTGGCTGGAACCAGTAGTTTGATCGCTCAGAAAATTTCTGGGTCGAAGATTCAACTCCGGAAATTGGTTCTATTCATGGTAAGGAAAACGAAGTTGACTTTTTTCTTTGTGGGTTGATTTTGCGATGCCATGTCCTCAACTGGGCTGGGATCTGATTGATTGCGTTGACCATGTTTTTGCATTCTCTTCTGGGTTGCTGCAGCTTTATGGGTTTGGTTATGCAGGGCCGTTGGCACACTTTCTGCACAAGTTGTTGGATACTCTTTTCAGGGGGAAGAAAGATAACAAAACCGTCGCCAAGAAGGTATGGAAAACGAAGAGAGTATTGGCTATTGCAATGTACAGTTCATGGAGCATAATGATCTTGCTGACGTCTTGGATTTTGTTTCTCTGTCATTAGGTGCTGCTTGAACAACTGATTGTTTCTCCATGGAACAACATGGTTTTTATGCTCTACTATGGCCTGGTAATGGAAGGTACGCAACTACGCATGTTCTACTCACTAACTAAGCCACTTCTCAATTTATAGCAGTTAGCACTACGTTCTGCAACAGACAAGCAGTTGGCACCATCTGCTTTTTAATAATTGGTTTCAAGCTGCTAGTTTGCTGGTCTGTTGCTGCCATGTGAACATTCTTAGCTAGTGTAACGTTGCTTCTCCTCATTGCCTTAGCTGAAGTTAGTATGCTGGAAAACCAGAAAGAAATTTTTTGCATCTCAAGTGTGAGTCAGTATGTTGATTGTACAGTAATTGATAGTTAAAGCATAATTATAGGAGGATTGTTCAAGGATTGAGGAACTCCCATGTCAGTACTGGTCAATGAATGCACAGTTCAGTCAATCTAGTATACTATACCAACATCTAACTTAAGGTCATCAATTAAAGCTTTGATTACTTACAGCAGTTAGCATTATTTTTGCAGGACAACCATGGCGTTCAGTGAAGGGTAAAGTCCGGAAGGATTTACCTTCTGTTCAGTTTGCTGCCTGGAAGGTAAGAGCCTGTGTGCAGTGCAAACCAAATTCTTCAGCTGCACTGTATCTGTCTGACAGTTTGATGTGTGTTCATCTGCGCATTCCTGTTGAGAGTTGAGACCAACACAACAAACACTCTGGTTTGATCAAATGTTCACATACTAATACTTGAACCATGTGGATTTGCAGTTCTGGCCTATAGTTAGTTGGGTGAATCATCAGTATATCCCATTGCAGTTCCGGGTTGTGTATGGTAGCTTCATGGGTGCGCTCTGGTATGATTCCTTCACTTCTAATTTCTTGCTTTTGCACCTGGTTAACTCTGTATGTGGATCACTGTACTTTTGATGAAACTTAGTACATGTGAGATGTTCTTAAGTAAAAACCACGTCTGAAATTGAGTTGGCTTTGCTCTATCGCTTTGGATTTTCAGGGCAATCTTTCTAAATCTGAAGGCAAGATCAGCAACAACTCTTAAGCAGGCATAGATATGCGGTGAGGCAGCACCTATTATCTACTTTAACTTTATGCATCTGAGCAGTTCTACCTTCATGTATTCAACGGAGAAGGATACTCTAGTTACTCTTATGATCTGGGTTGTCGTGGTAAAAGCTCCGAATCAAACTTTGCTGGTGGAAACTAGATCTGTGTAATCAGAGCCACCACGTTTGTGTATTAGTTTGATTTTTTTTTTTTTTGTGCGAGATGAATGTAGTAGGGAGAGGCGTATGGTAGGTTTGATGCACCATTGATAGTAATGTTAGATGCTTAATGCTTATCAGGGATGCAGTGGATTTAAATCAATATTACGAATCTTGTTTTGCAAGAGGGATCCGTAGGGTTTAAGAACATTTAAGTTTCTGCTTAAGCACCAATTGTGATGATGATCCGATTGATCGTCCTAACACTTTGTATGGCAACTGCAACGAGTAAACAGAAGGTTGGAACGCTCTTTACGCGACTAGAATGGAGTAAACTGGTGATCCGAATTGCAAACGAAGAACCTGGCTTTTGACATCCAGATCAGCATATTGCCTAGTCTCATGTTCGACCAACTCTTTTTCGGAAACCTTGATGTCAACAGACCTTGATGTATAGCCTGAATGCTACATTCGACGAACCATGCCTACTAACATTTGAAATCTCCCTCAAATAACCTTCTTGACTCCGAATCGGAGAAGACATTGCCATCTAGAACTACAATCAGCAGTTCCCCTATCAGCAACCAGGACATATTCAGGTGTTTAAGTACCAGCAGAGACTAGAGTAGGTCTGAAAGGTTATAGAGACAGTTACGAAAACCTTCAAAGAAACCAGACAGTCGGCTCCCTAAAGACAACAAGACCTAGATTTAGAGTAGCAAGTTACTGTTGTCTGCTGCGCTACGAGGAAACTGTACATAATGCGGAGTCTGAACAGAAATGGTCGGAGTTGGATAATTGGGCCTCCAGGGGCCCTTTTATCTTTTAAGCCTAGGCAGATAGAAGCCACTGAGCTTTGGATGGGCCTCTGTCTTCTTTGCAGACTTACAAACATTTTTTTTTTTGGAACAAAACTTACAAACAGATATGGTAAACGTCATGGACGTTTAGCTTAGTTCGTCAACATCATCATGTTAGATTAATGTTAGTAATTAAAATTCAATTTCAATGTTTCAAAACTAATCTCTAAGCTAGATATATATGATGGAGCTACATGGTGGAAGTTTAGCTAGTTAGTTTTATAGGTAGTGGTTCAAGAACCGATGAGATTAGGGGTGGCTATACGGTCCGGTCCGGTTAAATTGACCCAAATTGATCCGGTCCAGTCCGGTCTTTTTGAAAATATAAGGACCGAAAATTGGATTGGATACAGTCCGGTCTTGATCCGGTCCGGTTTTGATCCGGTCCGGTCCCAATTCGGTCTTGATTTTACATTGAGATTGTGGGATTTGAGTGGCCTAAGGCCTTAAAGGGTGAGGAGTTGGTTAAGTTTTGTACTAAGTGCAAAGGTTTGTGACCGTTTATGCAAATTACCCTTAAGTTTTGGGTGTTGAGCTCTCTTATCCGATCTTTATCCGGTTTTTTACCTCAAATCTAAGCCCAAAGATTGGATTGGATTGTTTACTATCCGGCCCCGGTCCGGTCTCGGTCCGGGTTATACGGTCCGGTTTCCGATTTTTAATCCGGTCCTGGTCCAAATAGCCACCCCTAGATGAGATAGGTTAGGGGTTTCACTAGGGCTGGCTATTTGGCCCGGACGGTTTGGTTTTACTAGAAACTGGACTATATAACCCGGACTTAGACCGGACCGAGACCGGATAGCAAACAATTCAATCTCATATTCAGGCTTAGATTTGAGGTAAAAAACCATTTGGAACCGGATAAAGTCCGGATAAGAGATCCCAACACCCAAAACTTAACCAACTCCTCACCCTTTGAGGCTTAGGCCACTCAAATCCCCACAATTCAATCTAAAATCAAAACCAAATTGGGACCTGACCGGGTCAAGATCGAACTGGATCAAGACCGGACTGTATCCAATCCAATCTTTGGTCCTGATATTTCCGAAAAGACCGGACCAGGACCGGATCAATTCGGGCCAATTTAACCGGACCGAACCGTGTAGCCACCCCTAGGTTTGACTATATAGTTAGTTGAGTTGTAACCAACATGAAAAAACAAGAGTCAAGCTGTAATTCTCTAACTTTCCCAAATTCTTCAATTCATTTGACGGTTTACTTTCTTGTATACAAACTGATTGTTGTTCTTGATTCATCAGAACTCCAGAATATAGTATATGCACGTATTGTTGTGACTTCACCGTATGGAATGAACCATATACTTCACCGATGGAAATATACATGCCATAACAAGTGAGACAAGTAGGTAGCTGAACTGCCCACAGTTATTGCTAGTTTGGTTTACATTGCGTGAAAACTTCATAGACTTTTTTCCTCTACTGGTCACTTTATGTATTCTTCTTTTGTATTGAAATTTGAACGCGACTGAAACATAGACGAGATTTGTTATCAGACAAATAATGAAAGCAATAAATATTTGCATCTACCGGGCACATGCTTTTCTGCTGTGGAAGTTCATGCCATGTTCATATATGCATGCTATCAAAGGGTAGTATTATCTGTAGATGCCCAGTTGCAATTTTGGTTCCATTAATAGCTAGCCTCTGCCATTTTAAATTAGCAATTAGAACATTTCGTTCACGAGTTTAGATTCTTTTTTTATGAAGGAGAACCCTTATTTGCGGTCGGTGCTGACAGTGAATTCGTGGGCAGGTCAAAATTCAGCATTAGAGCACACGACGGAACGAATCACTGCCTTCGTCACCAGGATTCAATCACTAGCTTCTCGAATTATCGTGTGTCGTTTTCACCAGCTAGGCTAGTAATTGTTTGCAATGAAATGAATCTATCAATAATTCACAGACTTTTGAGGACTGTAGGCATTGCAACTTTGCAAAGTCATAATGACTTGAACAACGAATTCGAAAAGGCTGAAAGTGATACCACAAGGAATTGAATGGCGTGATCGATAATGTCACATACTTTGTCTAGCTAACTAAAAATGTTTGTGTGTGTAATTTAAAGATGAAAAGTGATGAGCACCAAGTACACCACCATAACTCCATAACCAATACAGTATAACCTATGTACAGGCTATACAGTAGTCTCCCTCCCTTCTCTACTCTATTATATGCCGAGCTACACGAGCGACAGTCGATTGGGGGCAGTTCTGAACGAGATTTGTCATTATTGTGGTGCCCATCCGGGGTTTAGTGTGTGGTTTGTAGGTCGGGAGAACAATAGGGTAACTCATTTGGTAGCTAGAAAAGCCCTCTCTTTGTACCCGAATGTGAATCGCTCGTTTGATTTCAGGGCCTGACTGCTTTCCAGGATGTAACTATCTTTTGTTTGGATTAATATATGATATCTTTTGACAAAAAAAAAAAAAAAAAGGTAGCCAGGCTGACTTCAGAATAGTTATAATAATCTAACAAACGAAAGACGAGATAGAACAGATTAAAAATGGCGCGCGACGACACAAGATTAAACAAGACAAAGATAATAAAATCCGCGTACCTTACCACAAATTACTCGCGCGCGACTTTGAGTAATGATACCACGCAAAAACCCAACGAATCGAAATAGATCGCTAGGCTCCGAGTAACGATACCACACAAAAACACAACGAATCGAAATAGATCGCTAGCCTCGCGTAGATCAGGTCGAAATCGTCATCGCGCTAATCACTCTGCCAATTGCCATCTTACCAAGTTAAAGAAGGCCGAAGCTCAGCGACTCCAACGCGGATTCATCAATTCACACAATTGACCGGACCGGTGGGGAGGTAGCTACTAGCTAGTAGTAGACTACTAGTATAGCCTAGTAGCTAGGGGGTTAATTAATTTTGACAATCTTAGTTTATAATTATTAATTGATTAAAAAAAAATCTACCGAGATTTCCAATAGTACTGAATGAATGTGGCGAACAGTTGGTAGTTGAGGGACTTCAATGCTCTCTCGTCGCTCGCTCAAATCAAAACCACGTACGCTAGCTTTTGGGTTATAAAAAGACCCCATTCTCATCAGACTTTCCCAATCCATTTTCAAAACATCCATTTCCCAAAAAAAACAGAAAGGCGAGAATATGGGGAAGGGGAGTGGGAAGAGGATTGCTGCAGTGTTGTGTTTGGTTTGCTTTCAGGTTCTGGTGGGGAGTGTTTTGGCGAGGGATTTTGTGGGGAAGTATGAGGAGGAGAAGAAGGGGTTCCGTAGGGGCGGAGGGCTCGGCGGCGGGTTCGGCGGCGGGGGCGGGTTTGGTGGAGGCGGTGGTGGCGGGCTGGGAGGCGGGGGTGGAGCGGGTGCAGGTGGCGGGTTTGGTGGAGGTGCTGGTGGAGGCGGAGGGTTAGGCGGCGGCGGCGGGTTAGGAGGCGGCGGTGGTTTAGGTGGTGGGATTGGTAAGGGCGGGGGAATCGGCGGTGGGATCGGAAAAGGTGGAGGGCTTGGCGGCGGAGCAGGTGGAGGGATCGGAAAAGGTGGAGGTCTAGGTGGCGGAATAGGTAAAGGAGGTGGGCTTGGGGGCGGTGCCGGCGGTGGGAAGGGCGGAGGACTTGGCGGTGGAGCAGGTGGCGGCTTTGGCAAGGGCGGAGGACTTGGTGGTGGAGCCGGCGGAGGTGCTGGTGGCGGGTTTGGCAAGGGAGGAGGACTCGGCGGTGGTGCTGGTGGTGGAGCCGGCGGAGGTGCTGGAGGTGGTTTTGGCAAGGGTGGTGGGATTGGCGGTGGAGCCGGAGGAGGAGCAGGAGGTGGGTTTGGAAAGGGTGGAGGAATAGGAGGAGGAATCGGCAAGGGAGGTGGATTCGGCGGTGGAGCCGGCGGCGGGGCTGGTGGAGGAGCAGGAGGTGGGATTGGCGGAGGAGGGGGTGCCGGCGGTGGAGGAGGGTTCGGCGGCGGCTCGGGTGGAGGAATTGGGGGAGGATTCGGGAAAGGCGGTGGGATCGGTGGAGGAGTGGGCGGCGGGAGTGGAGGTGGAGGTGGGTTTGGAGGAGGCGGTGGAGTTGGGGGTGGATTCGGTGGTGGCGGCGGGGCCGGAGGCGGGTGGGGCGGCGGCGGACATTAGTAAACGGCGGTGATCACGTTTCCCTCTCCTGTCGTGCATGCATGCATGCACGCATTTGATAAGAGGAGCTCATGAGGAGATCCAATCCAATGAGGAACTGAACAAAAAGGGATTTACAGTCGTTAATTAATAATTATTCCAATTTCGCAATTCATGTGTTTCTTTCTTTTATTTTATCACCTGTATTGTAAGAGACTAAGAGTTATTGTAATTCGACTAAAAATGTTTTATATTATAAATTATAATCTCCTCATTGTTTTTTATTTGAAGAAGTAATCAATATCACACCTACTTTTTGCACACCACAACTACCATGCCACATGCATTGTCGACTTGTCGTCATGGATATATATATAAAATTAAAACTTTTATTCGGATATAGTGAATTGCAAAATAAAAGTTTGGAAATTAATGAGCATAATATCAATATGGTTAAAAAAAATGAAGAAAATTGGTGAGGAAATTGAAGCAGGAATGTTGGGCTTTGGAATGGTAGGTGTGGGGAATTGTTGGAGATGGGCCCAAAAGGGGGAGTGCATTTAAAGCCTGGTCTCTTGTCCAGAACAGACAGAGTGGCCCATCGTCATTATTGTGATGAAAATTAATTCATGGGTAAGAGATAGACTGGGCTGTAGTAATTACTGTTTTAACGAAAAATAGCAGTCGGTATTGGGCCTCAGGCCTTTGATTCGGTAGTTACTAATTAGTTGCAGGCGATACGAAGATTATCGGTTGACAAATGTGTGAATCAGAGATTCAAGGGACAGTAAAAACAATTTTTACTGGAGTTTTCCTTTTCCGCTTTAATTTTGCGATTGCTAATGCGTTGCGTTCTCAAACTCGACTCGTTTGCGGTTCTATTTATATGCCTTTAGGTTATAAAAGGTTGTCAAACTGGAAATCATTAAGTAGGTTTCACGAGTAGTTTGAGGTTCAATGATTGGATAGGGTGGGTTCAACTAGTTTAAGTTGGTTTTGATAGAATACGTGAGAAAACCTCTGGTACCAATTATGTATATGTATCATGTATGACATATTTTAAAACAAATTCACTAATCTACATTAATATATTACCAAATAATTTTTTCGAAATATATATATATATATTACCAAATTATCTATCCTCATTTTCAAACACAATAAGATTAGCCGATTTTAACTAATTTAACCCGATTATATATTTTTTTAGACACCAATCGACCGTCCAACCGAATCCTATTCCAACCGTTCATATGACCGTGCCAATTGGACAAGGTTGAACCGGCCAGCCAAATATTGGTTCGACAACCTTGATCGTCAGTCGTCACTAATGAGTAATTACTAATGCATTGGGTAAAAAATAATTTGTGCGGGTAAAAACCTCTTCTTTTTTCTTTCTAAATGAAATAGGACGGGAAAATCAAAATGTTCTCCCTTGCTCTCTGTAACAATGACAGCCAAATTCGTCAACTCTTATGATGACTAGTTCAAGAAAAAGAGAAAGATCTTTAGAAAGGCAGCCAGTTGGGCATCATTAGGAAGAAAATGGACAAGTAAAGCAGTTGCTTCCACTGTCCAGTTCCCTCTTCTTCTCCGCCACACACCGTTCAAAGTTGTTCCACGAAACAACAACAGCTCGTCACCAGCTGTATGTAGGGCTAATTCTTCCTTCCATCATGGCTTTTTTTTTGCCCACCACTAGCATTTACAGCAGGTAAACCGAGAGCTAGCTTTCCCCATCATTAATTATCCTCCAAAATGGGTGAATTGTGAAACCATGAATTGTGAAACCAAATAGTTGTGTGCCGGCCGGACCATTTTGGTCTGCCGCTGATGGGCAGAGCAGAGGTGGCCGGGCAAAATTTGACTAATTCAATTGCCGGTCCCATCCCACTTGGTTAAAAACTTTAATCATATTCTGGGTCTTCTTTTTTCCCCTCTTTCCCTGTGATATGCAGTGTGAAAATTCCCCTGTGGCAGGTGATTTGAATAGAAAATCAATTTCCCTGTTTGCTCTGCTCATTGCTGCCTGCTACTGTGTACATCAACACCTCACTTTCTCCCTCTCTCTCTCTCACTCTGAAGGCATTAGATTTCGTAATTAAATGCGGAGATTTTCCAGCTTGTTAAACAATTCCATTGTTTGAAAACACAAGTTGGGCTGATTTGGGGAAGGCGAGGGAGAGGGGGAGAAGAAAAAGAGGCAGAGGTAGGAGACGCAGAAAAAAACAAACTTTTGGGGAAGAAAGATAGAAAGCAGTGTATTAGCTTTGGATTCTCGGTCGTGGAGATGTACTGTGGTGGTGGGATTGATGGGTTGTGGGCTCATTCGATGCTTTTCGGATATGAAAGGTACTTTCTTTCTTTTCCTTCTTTGGACAAGCTCTTGATTTGATTCCCCTAATTCGCGTTTTCCTTGATGTATGTTTTTTAAGTCAATTGTTTATGGTTCTAGTCTCCTACCCATTTCGGTTTCTTTCCAAAGTTGTGATATTTTTTGCCGGATTCCTCCTGCATTTCATCTGGGTTTGGCTTCAATTCTTCCAAAACAAACATCTTTATCTGTTTAGTGTTCCTGGGTTCTCAACCTTCTATCCCCCTCATTTTCTTCTGTGTTTGTTGTATGTTGATCATGTGTTTATTGCCTAAGTTCAGAGGCTTTGGGGTTGAAATCCCGCTGGGCCTTAGGCTATGGAGAGACAATTTGAATGATGTAATTGTTGGTCATGGTATGGGGTTCAGTGTGGTTGATTGAGGAATAGGATGAGCAAGAAGAACTGGCAATTGGGGGGGTTATGGGTTCTCTAGATGGGTCTGATGTCCTCTCCAGAATTGGAATTTAGGGTCCATGGTTCTTATGAACTTAACTATATGGTTTTCAGTTCCTGACAGTACTCTAATTGCTGTTCCTTTTTTCTTCTTCTATTTGGTTCCTGTTTCTGCTGTCAATTGAAAGAGTTCCCAGGGTTTTGAGAGATAATGACACTTAAGTCTCGGATTCAAAACTGGAAGCTTCGATTTAGTGTGAGGTTCAGGAAAATGATGAAGTGTATGCGCTCTGGGGAGCAGTTGGGAGTCGATGATATGGCTGCTTCGTCTTCTGAGTCTTTGGCAACTAGGGACTATTCAGCAAGTGGCTATTCGTCTCGGGCTGCTGAGGTTGATTCCAAGCTTGATAATAGCAACATTGAAGAAGCAGAGTCGTCCCTTCGCGAGAGTGGGTTTCTAAATTATGAGGTACAGTGCTGAATCAAGTTTTTTCTTTAACAAGTTCATGTTCTAGGCAAAGAATGATTAACAACCCCTTGGTGAGTAGCAGAAGAGCATCGTTGTTGTCATCTTATAACAAATAGCAGGCGGCATTCTTGACTTGGATAGTTCTTGCTCAGTTTATAACATAGTTTTGGTTTTGAATGAAGAAATCTTGTGGCAGGATTCATCTTTCTACTATTCATGATGCTAATTTTGGCTTCCCCCAAATTTTTAGGAAGCAAGAGCATTGTTAGGGAGGCTGGAGTATCAAAAGGGAAATATTGAAGGTGCACTTCATGTCTTTGAAGGAATAGACATAGCTGCAGTGACTTCTAGGATGAAAGTCGCATTATCTAAGAAATTGGATCATCAGAATAGGCGCCGGTCCCAAAGTGATCCTGCTCCACCCATGTCTATGCATGCCATCAGCTTGCTTCTCGAGGCTGTTCTTCTCAAGGCAAAATCATTGCAGGGTCTTGGAAGGTTTTCAGGTATAATTCATCATCTCTCATTTGACTTTCAAATTTCTGCTTTAATTGTTTTGCTATGTTTTGGTTCTTATTCCTAAGATAGGAACCGGCACTGTTTGCTTTGCTCATTTTCATTTTTGTTATGTTTTGTGCAGAGGCTTCCCAGTCTTGCAAAATAATTTTGGACACTGTTGAGTCTGCATTGCCAGATGGTGTATCAGAACAAGTTGCTGCAGATTTCAAGCTGCAAGAGATTCTGAACAAAGCTGTTGAGTTGCTTCCTGAGCTGTGTAAGCTTGCTGGGTCACCTGAAGAAGCTATAGTAGCGTACCGACGTGCCCTCCTCTATTACTGGAATCTGGATACAGAAACGACTGCTAGGATACAGAAAGAATTTGCCATTTTCCTTTTGTATAGTGGGACGGATGCAATTCCTCCAACGTTGCGTTTCCAAATGGAAGGTTCTTTTGTCCCAAGAAACAACATTGAAGAGGCAGTCCTTCTGTTGCTGATTCTGTTGAGAAAATTTGCTCTCAGGAAGATCGTATGGGATCCAACAGTCATGGATCATATATCTTTTGCATTATCTGTCTCGGGGGACCTAAGGGCGCTTGCTTATCAGGTGGAAGAGTTGCTTCCAGGGACTACCGAAAGGCAAGAGAGATTTTGTACTTTGGCTCTTTGCTATCATGGAGAAGGTGATAATGAAGTTGCCCTAAATCTTCTGAAGAATTTCCTAAAGGACAGAGAGAGTAAGAACTGCAACATGGAACTATTGCTTGCTTCTAAGATATGTGCAGAGATTTCAATGCAAGTTGATGAAGGGATTAATTATGCATGCAGAGCTCTTTGTGACCCTGGAAGATGTGTCCAAATAGCAAGCATTACTAACTGCCTCTTGGGTCTTTTACTATCGAATAAGTCAAGATTGGTTGCTTCTGATTCCGAAAGGGTTGTAAAGCAGTCTGAGGCAATTGAGAAGCTTGAACTTGCAGAGCGGACGATGAAAGAGAAAGACCCGTATGTTGTATATCATCTGGCGCTAGAAAATGCTGAGCAGAGGAAGTTAGATGCTGCACTGACTTATGCAAAGCAGGCTTTAAGACTGGAAGCTGGGTCTTGCACAAAAACTTACGTGCTTTTGGCTAGAATACTGTCTGCTCAAAAAAGGTTTGTTGATGCCGAGACTGTGATCTGTGCTGCTATAGATCAGACCGGTAGGTGGGATCATGGTGAGCTGCTGAGAACAAAAGCGAAAATCCAAGTAGCACAGGGCCACTTAAAGAGTGCAATTGAGACATACACTCACCTTCTTGCCATTCTCCAAGTTCGAACTAAAAACTCTGGCATGGAGAAGAAACATCACAAGGTATGGTGACTAATCTGGCACTCTTTATGCAGTAAGAATGACAATGGGCTGGCTATCTTAATTACATACCCTCACCGCACTAAGCATGTTCTGGTTGGGAAATATCCGTGCGACACAGGTCAGCTCATTCCGACATGTGACTGGGGGGAAAAACACATATGCAAACATCTCAATTTTTATCTGAAAAGTTGTGAGAAAAGGCTTTCTGAATAAGAAGGGAAGAGAAGGGAATGACATAACTAATTACCCCAAATTATGAAAGAGATGGAGGCTCGTATTAAGTCATAGCTGTATTACTTTATAGAGTAATATTAGAGAGAGGTGACTGTTGAGATAGACCAGACCAACCTATTGTCATCCCCATTATGCAGACACATTGTAATTGAAATCTTTTCTTAAGGAGAAGGGTGGTAGGATATTGGGGATAAACTTTTTCCCATTTTGGTTCTTGCAGAGTAGCAGGAACAGTGATAGGAAGCTGGAGATGGAGACCTGGCATGATCTAGCTAACGTATACACGAGCATGTCTCAGTTGCGAGATGCTGAGGTCTGCCTTTCGAAATCCATGGTTATCAACCCTTTTTCTGCATCGAGATGGCACTCCACAGGTAATCAGTTTCTTCTCACAAACCCTCCCTTCCCTCCCTTTCCATTAGCTGCAGCAGCTGTCAGATAATGTTTAACCAAAACCCTTATGGTATTACCGATCTCTTCCACAGGTGTACTGTATGAAGCGAAGGGAATGCACCAAGAAGCACTGGAAGCATATAAAGCAGCATTAGATGCCGAGCCAACCCATGTCCCGAGCCTGATATCCACTGCTTGTGTCCTCAAATGCCTCGGGGTCAACTCATTGCCGGTCATGAAGAGCTTCATCACCGATGCCCTTCGATTCGACAAACTGAACCATTCTGCATGGTACCAGCTTGGATTGATCAACCAGGCTGATCCGAGTGCATCAGCAACCGATGCTTTGGAATGCTTCGAGGCTGCTGCTATGCTGGAAGAAACTGCACCTGTGGAACCATTCAGATGACCCCGGCTAGTGCAGCTTTGTGGCGCTCTATTATTAAGCACAGTTAAGGTGTACATTGTAACTTGATGATGCATTTTCCCCCTATACAGTTTGTCAGGCATTAGTAGATGATGATATACATATTGTAGTACCAAATAGAAGGGGAAAGGATAGAGGAGGAAACAATGATGAATCAATATTTGGCATTGTTGTCTAAGTTTTACAGGTTTGAGTGATTTATTTAGTTCCCTTTGTTGTGAAAGATTTTTTCAGATAAGCAGATGTATGATTAATTACAAAACAGAATGGATGTAAATGTTTATCAGAAGCCCACAACCTTCGTGCCTGTAAATGTTTGTCATTATGATCATACGGCAAATGTTAACTTTGCCAATTTCCTTCCTTGATACAAAATCAAGATTTAAATTTATGATGATACTCATTAAAATGTCATGTTTATTTCTCATCCTATACAAACCCTAAAAAACACAAACCACATACAAATTAAGCTATAAAAGATCCCAGAAGAAGATAAGACAAACGAGGAAGTCAATCTTGGCCAACGCTCTCACCACGTCACTAATATTTCATATCATGTCGGTGATCATAACACTTGTACTTTAACCGTTATAGATTCAAATTTAGTTTGTATTTATACATTTTTTTTACAAATTTTTATATGATACAATGTGAAGTTGTACCATTAACTTTAACGTTATGATATAAATTTGGTTTATACCTATACCTTTACAAATTCCTTTATGGTACAAATTGAACGTGTACTTTTAACGAGCTTGTATTTTTTATACCTAAAATGTACTATCTTGATTATAGTTAAGAGTTAACACATAATAAGCTTGCAGATCTACTATAAAGGGGTGGAAATCCTTGGGGGTAGTGAAATGGCCTTAAACATATTTGATCCTCATTATATCATTAGCTTTCAAACCCACTTAGGGGTCGTTTGGAGAATATGAATTTAAATCTATAGATTGTCAACAATCTAAAGATTCTAACTCTTTGGATTGTTGAAAATAGATTTTAAAATGTTTATTGTTTGGTAACTGAGATTGTTAACATTCAATGAAAATAATAAAAAATTATTTTTATATTAAATAACGTGTTTATCCTTAATAAAAAATTTGAGTGGTTCGAGAAATATTAAAAACTTTGTTGATAAATATATTTAATATGATAAATAAATAAAACAAAGAGAAAAAGTAGGAGGAAAAAATTTTCTTACGAATCAAGATATAGAATCTCTCTGATTATGAGAGATTTGATATCCGTAGATTTTAGAGATTTGAAATCTCTAAAGCTAAAATCCACAATACAAAAATCAACAAAAAAACATAACTTTCTACAAAATCTACGGATTTAATGAATCCACGCCCTAAATCCCATTCTCCAAACGACCCCTTAGTATTGAGATTATTATATCATCACAACGGCAATATCACAAATAAGCGGACTTGTAAATAAGGTTTTTGTATTTGAATAAGGTCGGAGCTATATAGCTCACATTAGCTTAGGTTAAATTAATGTATTGCTTCCCCATCGAATCTTTTCATATTAGCTTAAAAATTTATTTGTATCGATGTTGTTAGTTAGTTTCTTCATGTTCGAATAAGGTCGGAGCAATATAGCTCACATTAGCTTAGGTTAAATTAATGTATTGCTCTCTTATCGGATCATTCCATAATAGCTTACAAAATTAATTTGTATCAATGTCTCTGCCACGAGACTGTGCCACCCAAATCCCCAGGGCCGCAACCTCGTCTCCTCTCAACGATGAATCGGATGCGGCTATATGTATGTGGGATGGGGCTACAAGAAGAGGGTCGCATTCTGCTAGGGGATGGTGGAAACCCTTTTGGCACAAGGTGTCCAGTTTTTAGGCATTGACGACCCAATGGTGGCAGAGTTGCTTACACTTCGTGAGGCTGTGTCTAGGTCTATAGGTATTGGTTTTACGGAAATGAGTTTTGAAGGTGATGCTAAAGTGGCGATTGAGAAAATTTTGTGTGGCGATGCTGGTGACAACCAAGTAGGGGCTATTCTGGAAGAAGTTATTCGTTTGCTTGGTTTGAGAACGGGTTTTAGTTTGCGATTTGTAGGTCGGAGTAGCAATAGGATAGCTCGTGTGGTAGCTACAAAGACCTTGTCCTTGTTCCCAACTGCAAGTCGTTCTTTTGATTTTCAGATCTGGCTGACCTCCAGAATATAACTATCTATGTTTCAATCTATATATGATTGTCTCTGGTAAAAAAAAAAAATTCTAGGTACCACGTGAGCTACCCATGAGCTACCCTAGAGAGAGAAACCGAGGAGAAACACATAACTAAACAAGTTTAATCAGATAGGTTTGGTGGGAGAAACACATAACATCATTTAGCCCGGCCCAGTACAGCCCAAAAGGCCTTTAGTGAAAATAAATTCCAAAGATGGAAATCCCGGCCCAAATTTTCTTTCTTCGTGGAAAAGTTCCCTCCCTTTCTAACCCGGGAAAATTGAGTAATAACCGTCCATAAACCCTAGAGAGAGAAACCGGGGAAACGATTTCTTGTCCGGCTAGCCAGCCTGATCATGGCCATGCCTTCGTCCCAAATTAATTTCTTCCCTCGCTTCGCTTCCAGCTCCTAGAATCCAGACTTGCGCGTCGATTTTGGAATCTCAATCTCTACTGCTTCTCCATTTTAACATACACATTTTCTGCGCTTACTCTGGGTTGTGGTGGGTTTGAACTTTGAAGTTTGATCACTCTCATTCAGTATGCCAGAACCTCAACTTCTCGTGGACGAGTTCGTCTCCCAGCTTCGGAAACGGTGAGTTTCTTTGCACATAATTGCTCTGGTTAACAAGAGTTAGCAGCTTCCTCCTTTCTCATTTCGGCAATTAACCCTTTTTTCTCGACGGTATTTCGATTCTGCTTTTCCACCACTGGTCATGTTCTTGGGGGAGATGGGTTTTTTTCCTGAACGAGCCACTCTCGTGATCTTGGGCATCCAACTGAATGAATTGTACGATTGGCATGGTTTATGGGTTAATTCATTTTTCTGGGTACGTTTTCATTCCGCATGGAAGTGGAGGGTTCGCAAGCGACAGCTCAACTAACAGCAGAGTTGCTTCGGACTGCCATATCTCAACTGAGGGCCGCTGAGGCTCCTGTTCTTATTGAAACTGTGAGAAAATTTGGCAGGGAGTTAATTGCCGCTAATCCCGCTGGTACGTTTCTCAGGCCTTTTCACCTCATCTTTAGGAAACTCGCGTTTTAGTTAGAATTTGAAGTGCCTGCTTGTGTTTCCCTGAAATAGTGTTTAGTACTGAAAATCCCTCTTGTCAAGAGCTTTATGTGTTTGTTGTGTTTATAGATGTACATAATTATAATGGGAACTTTTGTACTTCCAGAGCTTTCTGTGGGGAACATTGTAAGGAGGGTCTTGCGGATCATTAGAGATGAAGACGTGTCAGAAGTAACAGATGGTTCGCCATTAGACAGTGATAACAAAGAGGCAGCTGATTACACAGATGGTCAAGTTTCAAGTGCTGATGTTTTGGCTACTAGAAGGTTGTTGCGATCTCCTTCACTGCACCGTTTACTTGACCGTGCCCCCGGTGCACCTATAGACGATATGGAAGGCAAAAGAAAAGGTATGATCTTATTTGGTTATGTATTTCAAGCAGGATGCTTTTATGTTTACTAGTTTTAAGATTCCCAGCTTTGCCCAAATGGTTTGCAGTAGCTGCTGATAAGAATGCAAGAGCCTGGAGGTTGAAGCGTAATGTGATGGAGACAATTAATGAGCTTGTTGAAGAGATAAGTAGTTGCCGTCAACAGATTGCAGAGCGAGCATTGGAGCTCATTCATCACAAGTAAAATCGATACCACTCTTAGGTTGAATAGTTACTCTACACAACTATGAGAGTTACTCTGACAAGATCCCTTTGTTTTTCTGCAGCGAGGTGATACTAACTTTAGGACAGTCAAAAAACCGTGATGGAGTTTTTATGTACCGCGAAGAAGAAAAGATCATTCAGGGTTTACGTTGCTGAAGGAGCTCCCAAGTTTGAAACTCCCAGCAGTTTACTTTGCAATGCCTTTTTTCTTTTTCTCTAATCTTCTCTTGGTTATTTCTTTATCAGGACTGATCCATTAACAATTTTGGCAATAACTTAGGTACCAAGGACACTGCTTTGCGAAGGATCTATCTGAAGAAGGTTTTAAGACATCTTTGATCACAGATTCTGCAGTATTTGCCATGATTTCACGGGTGAACATGGTGAGGCAGCGACTAATCTATTCCCATCACAAGTCGTAAAATGTAATGCATGAGTGGTTTGAACTCAGAGGTTTACTATTTCTGGAACAGGTTGTGGTCGGAGCTCATACTGTGATGGCCAATGGTGGGATCATTGGCCCAGTTGGGTTGAACATCCTCGCACTTGCAGCCAAAAAACATGGTGTTCCATTCGTTGTAGTTGCCGCCACTCACAAGGTAATAACAAAAAAAGGAGGAATGAACTCATTTCCCATTTTCATCTGATTATGAGTTTTGATTCTGTACCCCGTTGGTTTCAGTTATGCCCTTTGTACCCAGAAAACCCAGTAGTTCGGTTGAATGAACTCAAGTCGCCATCTGATCTCCTCCAGTTTGGAGAATTCTCAGAATGCATGGAACTAGCACCAGATAGCAGCGCTTGTGTGCTGAACGTCGTAATCGTAAACCCTGCGTTCGATTACGTTCCACCACCACAGCTCATCAATCTTTTCATTACAGACATGTAAGTTCAAAACCATCACCATTTACCTCTTTCCTCAATCACCCTTTTTAAGTTTTACTCTTATGGTCTTCCCTGATTTTGATGCTGTTGCAGAGGCGGACACAACCCTTCGTTCATGTACAGGTTGATTGCTGACTACTACTCTGCTGAGGATCTCATCCTCTGAAAAAATTATCAAATTGCCAACAGCTCAAGCCGCCAAAACAAAGGCGATCGATCTTCTGCACTCTGATTTGAAGAATTAGAACAGTTTTGCCGCCTAGATTCAACTGACTGGAAACAAGAACTTAGATGCATTGGACAAATGCCGAACAGTTTGGCTGTCATGAACGTTGATACATTGGACCAATGCCTAACAGTTTGGCCGTCACGAACTTTGATACATTGGATTTGTTTTGACAAGAAACATATTGAATGTAATGGGAAACCTTGACATTTCATACAGATGAAAATATGGAAAGAATCTACTACTGAAAGTTTTCAAGAAAGGAACTTTCTTATTGGGATCTTTACACCTTGCGAAGATCAAGGCCTGCCGTCGACTCCATTCTTCCCGACGGTCTTCAAAGCATTAGTGGATAGTCGGAGTTAGACGTAATAGTGCTTGCCTGTCTCTTTCCCACCAAACCTTCTTGTACAGCAAGTTCACACGAACTCGGCTTCAATCCCAATTCCATTTTCTCTCCAGCATTTCTCTGTTTCTCTTCACATCCGAATCCAGCGGGCAAGCTGAGTAGGGTTCACAATCCCGGGAATGTGGGCACGTTCCGTCTTCAATAAGCTCGCCACCTCCGCATAGCTCCTCTCCTCGTCTTCCTTGCTCTTCTTCCACGCCTCCTCGCCGGCGGCAGCTGGTATCGCTCCGCCTTTCCTAATTCTCGGCGGCGGCGCCTCCGTCGACTTCGCCGGATCGAACTTCTCCCCGAGAATCGTCCCTCTCGTTAGGAACTCGTAAGCTAGGTACCCGGCCAGTAGCCCGTTGTTGTTGGATGAAGGATTCGGCGTCGACGGCGGCGGCGGCGGCCTGTGGAGGTAGTCGAGCCGAGCCGATGGCTTGGCAGCTGGATAAAACGCTGGCGTTGATTCTCTGTCTTTTCGCTTCCTAGACTCGCCAGGTGGCAGCATCTTAAGGATCGGATTTGGAGGCGTGGGGGAAAGAACAAGAAACCGGTATAATTGGAAAGCGAAGGGGAGAGAGAGAGAGAGAGAGAGGCTATTTATGAGCAGAGTAATAAAAACGGAAACCAAATCGGAGGAACTCGCCGGCCGGCGGCGGTCGGAGCTAACAAATCGGGAGGCTTTGAATCGCCGGGAAGAATTTGGGGCGGGAAGAAGAGGAGATTGGAGTGGAGGAAAGGAGGAGAAGAACGCAGAGGAAGGAAGAATGGGGCGAAAGAAAATTGGGGATGGGGAGAGCGGTTTATATACGGTCGGCTGGATTCAGGAATAACGAGAATGCCATTGGATTGGGGAGTTGAGGAGCGAAATGACGAGCATGTCCTTGGTGGGGCTAAATGACGTATATGCCCTCAGAATCTTACCCTCTTCGTCGTTTATGCTATGTTGGGCCCAAATTGGAGGCCTACTTTTTGGTGATTAGGATGGACTGTTGTCCATTTAAGTATGGGCTTAAGGTGGAAAATGGAAATTAGTACGATATCGGTATCACAATACAAAACATCGAAAACTCGAATACAAAATAGTGTCATAAATGCAATCGCAATCTCAATCCCTAATTTTTTGTTCTCTATCGGTATATACCAAATGCCAAATTTATTTCCTTCAAAATTATGAATTTAATATACAAACGCAAATGCTAGCTCCATAACTCATTCCCAAAATATATAAAAACAACAATGGTGTGGTGCTAACACGCTTGCAAAAAAAAAAAATGATAATAAATCTCAAGTATAATGACAACATACAAGAAAAATGTGATGCCTAAGAGCACATTAACAAACTAGAACATGGGATGACTAAGCAACCCATAAACATACTACAATTAACAAAACCCATAAACATACTACAATTAACAAAGCTTGGTATTGGTTGTCACATAGTAAGGGAATGAGTTATGTAAATTAAAGTGATAATCTTGGCGGTTGAAGGTCTGATAGTAGTGAGTGTGATAGTTTAGTTCAAATGGATAAAATACACATAAGCTTATATTTCGCTATTGATCAGTATTTCGGTAAATACAAATCACAATCCCGTAATCTCTAATACCAAATAACCCTTCAAATTCAATCTCAATCCCAAGAAATAATATGTGTATTCAGTAATATCAAATATCGACAAATTCGATACGATATTCGGTATATCCCAAATACTGATTCCAAACTTTCAACCCTACTAGCTGGTTATAGTGTTCTTTTTTCATTTGAGTAATCTGGATTCAAATTCCAATAATAGCATTTTTTTTTCTCAAGGGACTGGCCCATTCGTAATTTGGGATGAGAACATCCACCATACTATTAGTTCGAACTTTGAGCCCAACTGCCAACGTTTGAGTAGTGAAATCCCTTTACAAAATAAAATATATTACAATAGATTAAGAATTTGTATAATATTGCATTTGGGACATTTTTTTTTTCAAAACTCAACCCGTTTTTCACCTGATCCACCCAGAAAGCACAATGACATCATTTTGTGTCTAACGTTAACACTATGAATAAATTTATGGATGTTTTTTAGTCTTTATAAAAACATAGTCATAATAATATGAATTATTTATGAATATTATTAGTCTTTATGCAAATAAATTTGTAGAATTTTTTTATAATATAAGATTATATTCATGAGAATAATGTGGGATTATATTCGTGAACACATGCGTACACATGCATTTGTTAGTATCCATTGGATTGAGTTGAGTTTCTCTTCTAAAATCCATTACCGAATGTTTTTTACATGCACCCACTAAATTGGATTTGAGTTAGAGAAATCTGACCCAACTCTACTCATTGTATCACTAGCAGTGACAATAAGAAAGCTTTTAGTTGTAGAAGCAAATAGAAAATAAATACATTTTATACCATTTATCTCCACTGTTTTTTATGGATGTCTCATCAATTTCTTTCAATATTTAACCTCGGATGATTCGGCATGAAAGGAAGGGGGAAAAAATCTATGTTTATCCAAGAAATTGGTCCCTAGTAGAATTTATAAGTGTGTTTTAATCACATGGACTGAGGAGGCTTTTGAATATTTGACCGCATGAGAACAAGAGTTTTCCTTAACCGAGGAGTAAGAATTGGGAAATTGAGGAGTTTTCAGTTAGGTTGACAAATAGTTGCACTTATTTGCTTGTATTGAACTCTTGAGTTGAGGTTTTTAACTTATGTGGTCTAGCATGGAAATTTTACTCATACAAAAATGGATAACTATGTATACCTAACTTTATTTTTCTAAGTGGGATCTTAGTTCTTCCCACTTCGTTTCGTGACTGGGTTAATTCGATATACGACAAAGTCAAATTCTTTGAACATGATTGAAAGATGATCTTTTAATCGAAATTAAGCATTTGACATGCCGCTACGATATAGATGACGGTCGAGTGTATGTGCTTTAAAGTGCTAATTCAGAATTCGTCCTCAATCCGGGGAAAAAAGTAATCCAAAGCCCTAACATAATTCTTCAACCCTTCATTTAGAGCTCGTTGGGAGAATTGTGGTATGAAGTTCTAGATTCAAAAAGTCTAAACTTTGGATTGTTGGAAAAGGTTTTAAATTTTTTGTTTGGTAACTATGATTGTTTACCTCAATGAAAAATAAAAATTATAGACATGTTTATCTTTAACCAAAAATTAGGGTGGTTGAAGAAATATTGATAATTTATAAGTAATGGTATTTAGTGGAATAAAAATAGAAAGGGGTAAAATAGAAAAAAAAAATCTCGCAAATCAAGATATAAAATCTATATTATTATTAATAAAAAACTATATGGTTATGCAAGGTTTTATATTTCTCGACTTTGGATATTTGAAATTTCTAAAAATAACCTTCACGATAAAAAAAACACAGGAAAAAAACATAATTTTATGCTTAAATCTATAGAGTCATTGAATCTATACTTCAAATCACACCATAGTTGACAATCTAGATGCAACTTTAACCAATTGCTTATGTTAGGACGTCCATTTACATCATAAGATTAGGAAAGAAGAGTGTATTTGAAGCCAGTTTGAATTTTTTTTTTAAAGAATTGAATTTCATTCTCAAAATATTAATCATTGATTTAAAGGTGCTGCTGGCAGATCCGTACTAACAACTCATTCCACCACAAGCAAACTCAAGAACACCCTAACGTTGAATACTAATTAACTCTTTAACTTGAGAGTTACTCTGACAAATAACCCTTTGTTCTTGTGCTGCAAAGAACAGATTTTTCAGGGTTTTTGTCGCTGAAGTGGCTCCAAAGTCTGAAACTCCCTGCTGTTAACTCCACAGTGTCTTTTTTTTCTCCTCTTAGTTGTGTAATTGTTCATCACAACTGATCCGTTAACAATTTGGCTACCACTTAGGTAACAAAGGATCCTCCTGCTCAGCTGAGATCTAACTGCGTGATGTTTTAGGACAAACTGTGATAACAGATTCAGCAGTATCTGCCATGATTTCTGGAGCGATCATGGTGAGGCACTGACGATTTCGATCACAAGTTGTTCAAATATGATGCAGGGCTGGCTTAAACTCAAAAGAGGCTTCCTGTTTGTGGTACAGGTTGTGGTTGGAGCTCATACTGAGTGTGAAGGCAGGATCATAGCGTTGAACAATGAACATGCTCTCGCAGTTGCAGCCAAACCTCCTGGTATTCCATTTCATAGTAGTTGCAGACTTGCAGCCAGTCACAAGGTAATAAAAAGATGGAGTAAATCACTTCGAACCCATTCTCCGCTTCATCAGAGTTTGAGAGTGAAACCCAGCAGTGCATTTGAATGAGCTCAAGTCGCCATCTGATCTCCACAAGTTCCCAGAATCCACAGGACTAGCACCCGATAGCAGTGCTCCTGTGCTCCACATCTCATCAATCTTTTCCAATACATATGTAAGTTGACACTATCAACAGTTTACCTTGTTCATCATCTCTTATGGTCTTTTCTGATCATGCTTCTGGGTCACCTCTACCTGTGTTGCAGAGGATGACAGAACCCCATAGTTCATCCTCCGCCTAAATATCAAATTGCAAACAGCTCTCGTCAAAACAAAGGCGATCGATCTCTGCACTCAATTAGAAGGATTGCAACAGTTTTGCCTCCAAAAGAAAGTAGCAGCAACTGACTAGAAACATAAATTTGAACTGCAGTACATTGGGTCTTCTAGGTACGAAACCTGCTGAAAGTAATGGGCAACCTTGAAAAGCTTAAAGAAAAAAACTTGCTTTCTGAGTGGATTACAACTTGCGAAGATCGATGCCGGCCTTCTTAGCGACGGCGTCGAGGCCATTCTTCTCGATGGTCTTCAACGCCTTAGTCGACAAACGGAGCTTCACCCATCGCTTCCCTGCCTCCCACCAAACCCTCTTGTACTGCAAGTTCACGAACTGCTGCGTCTTGGTCTTGTGGTTGGAGAACGACACCTTGTTTGCCCTGTTCGCTTTCTTCCCTGTGAATGGACAGATTCTCCCTGCAAAAAATACCCAAAACAACAAATATCAATCAGAACCAATTGACCATTTCATATCCCCCCCCAATCTACTCAGACCGAAGCAAGGAATGGCAGACTCACGGGCGACAACGGGCTGGAGAGCCGTCTTGAAGGGTTGGAAGGAGCAGGGAGATTCGGAGGAGATGCGAATGCCGCTCAATTGGGAAGTGAGGGAGCTGAGGTCTGAGACGGCGGCGGAATTGGACAAGGAAGAAGTGGGCAGCGGCGGCCTTGGGAAACGGGCGTTGTTGCTGGAGAGGCGAAAATTCATGGTGTTTCCCAGCAAAACTCCTGTTGTTGCTGAAGCCGTCGCCATTGTTTGAGAATTTGGGAGTGTTTTTCTAGCTGGAGGAAGGAGAAAAGAAGAACTTATCTCATCGTCTGGTAATGTTCTCTCTGGAAAACAGAGGACGGCGTCTGTGGTGGGAATGGATAATGGAATTCTGGGATTTCGAGTATGACCGTATTGGGCTGGAGAAAATCTTTGTGGGCTTGGTTCGGCCTATTGAAAATTGAAATGTTGCGTCGGCCCGCGAAAGTCTGGTGGGAAAAAGAAGAGGGCTTAAAAATTTATCAGAGCCTGGTTTCGATCCAGGGACCTGTGGGTTATGGGCCCACCACGCTTCCGCTGCGCCACTCTGATTGTTGTTGACATGAACAGCGTAAATTATTTATCAACTATTGAATGGTCTTTGTTTCTTGAATAACCATCACAATTGGTCAATAGCATAAAGGATCACTTATATTTGGAGTGCTAACAAAAAGGTCACTAAATCTTGGAACTTCTTATGGGTTCAAGGTTGGTTTGGGTTGTCAATATCATATCTACAACATTTCATTTATAAATTTGGGTGATGTGTGAACGTTTGGATGGAAAAATGGATGAAAATAACAAAATCATTTATCACCCTTATTATAAAGAAAAAAGAAAACATAACCATCAATTTGCTATTTTTTTATAAGGATTATACATACATACATACATATTTGTTTTTTTTATAGATAAGGGTATATATACATACATATTTGTTGTTATTTGAGGAATTTGTTCCCAACACCTCAAAATTCAAGATTAGTGCTACTAGACTACTACCACTAAATCATACTCTTGTTCGCTAAAATCAAATATTAATAACCATTTTGGCCATTTGTGTTATCGAATTCAGTATTTGTGAAACCGTACTGTACCAATAATTCAACCGAAAACAAATAGACGATTTAGAATTATAAAACCGTTGAAACCTAGTAAAATAACGATTTCCATACATAATAATACACAAACATTGACTTTTCAGATATAATCTTCCAATAAGATTCCACAATGCTCCCTCGACCCCTATTTTAACCCACCAAGGGAATCAACAACAGCAAGCACGAAGTAGAACATTTCCTCATAAATTTTTCCAGAATCAGAAGTTAGTGATAAGTATTTTCATAACAAAATTAGGCAGTGGATGTTGGCTTGTTTTGGACATCCAGATTCCAGAAAGACCAAAACTACAATGGATCACGCACAGCCAAAAACATTCCATCTTTCCTCTCTAATGAAGTAATGATCCCATTCTCTATGGGGTAAAAGGGTCCCTGGTGCCTATCTCTAACATCAATCTCTCTATAACAGAAGCAGCTCAGAATGCCAGCCCAATGGCGCTCAGGGAGGTATCTAACAGCATCCCTATTGATTCTGGAACCTCGCCTTGTAAAGATCAAGAGGTACATATTCTGCTGTGACGGTGCGATCATCGAATGATCTGCCATGCAAGCAGTGTGCTGCAATGCAAGAGGCTTCTGTCCTTCTAAACTCCACCAACACGCAACCAGCCTCGAAACTGCCTCCAGTTTCAATATCTTTCTCTGCTGCAGTTTGGTCGCCACCCTCCTGGGCACCAGAATCTGAAGCTGTAGGGGAAGTTGTGTCATTGCAAGAAGCTGCTGAAGAAGCCTTCTCCTTGTTTGTTTCTGGAATCCCTCTGCTTTCATTCCTGCTAAACAACTCTTCGCCCATTGGTTCATCTCTCAACGGTGTATCCTTCATGTGACTTTCAGCAGCAACTGAACCAGTTGGTTGTTCTGTTTCAGTTATTGGGATTTTTTCACCGTTCATGTCCTGCTGACCACCACCAGCTGACACCTTGTTGTCATGCGCAGAAGATTTTTCTAAGGTGGTGGAATGAATTGCAGTACGCTTGACAACATTAATCGACTTCACAGCACCAAACCTGTAAATTTAATTTGAAAAGCAAACAATGCTTAAGCTGCTGCTACGAGGCAAAGGCTTTAAAACAAAGAAGCAACGCCCCTCTATATACCTGGCGCACTCAAGTCGTACATCTTCTAATACTTCCTCAATTTCTGCACTGGACATCGAGGGAAGGACCTCTGGTTGGAGCTGTTCCATATTTTATGGCAAGGGACATTGAGAAGTCTCGAATGAGATTTTAAAAAACAAATTACACAAAATAAAAAGCATCACAATAGCTAAAACGTTCAAGTGCATGAACGTGTACCACATTCAGAAGTTTCAGAACTTCTGTAGGCTTCTCAAGAAGTGACTTTGCATGTTCAGGGATCCCATGGAATGGTGGACTCCCATTGCTTACCTACCAAGTCAATCCGCCCGATTAGAGCATTCTTCCCTTTCCAAATAAAAAGAAGAAAAAGAAAAGGGTTTCAAATGAAATACCATGACTGAAGGATCTTGCACAGCTTGAACCGCAGTTAATACTTGCCCTCCTATTTTCATACCATTCAAACCAGCACAAGCTTTAAGAGTGACTGTCTCGTCTGCATACTGATATTAAAGTTAAAAATTAGCCCTTCACTACTGCTACGATCAAGAGTTAAGAAGTATTTATGAGCAGCACCAAGATCAGGACTTGTACATATAGAAATCCTCAGGGACAACAAGAAACCATGGCCTCTCTGAATGAAAGCAACCCGCGCAGATGGTTTTCTTACCTCAAGGAAAGCATGTGGGCCATCACGTTCCTTATTGTTGAGAAGCTGGAATCCCTTCAAAGGTCCGAAGGCGCTAGCAATCTCCATAAGCTGTGAAGGCAAACCAAATACTTTAAATGAACAGTCACAGAAGTGCAGAACTAAAAAGGGCATCAGAAATAAAATAAAATAAAATAAGAGAATGTTAGGCATGGGATGAACCATCCCAGTTGTCAGTCTTGACTCTTGAGACCAAGAGCATTTGCAATGTTACACATTTGAAGGCAAATTACCATTTTGGAGGAAAGGACACTTGAAATTCCACCAACGAAGATCTGCAATGACTCAAAAGAAGAAAACGATGAGCTTTATAGGCCTTAAAGAGTAATTTCCAAACAGTTGGCGAACCACCTACACAACTATCGCAAAGGACGTAAGTGAACTAATATGACGGCTCTGTACTTTATTTATTTATTTATTAAAATTTGTAACTCATCGACAGGAGGACTGCATCAACAATTTCTACAAATAATTTTCAAAGCAGGGAATCGATCGAAACAAAAACAAATGGAAGCTCTCTGCATGAACACAATAATCATGTAGCACTGGACAGAGTTTAACTGAAAAAGACCCTGACAGCAAATCGGACGCCTCGCAGTCAAGAATAATCAAGACAACAAAATGGTCTTTCAGATCCCTTTGTGATATAACTGAAGCAATAAAACAACAATGAATGAGAAAGAACACAACCTTGTGGGGAGAATCCTTAACAATATCAGTTATTGCCTGAACCACGGCAACCGACTTTTTTGCTTCAACAGTCTGCATAAAAATAGCAACCGACTGAAAACCCGCTACATGGACGGTAACCACAGTATATCTCAGAGGAGGATGCAGCAATTGAATAATCCTCGGAGGGATTATAGCTCCACTGTAAATCAAAAGCAAATGAGATCAACCAGATTTTCATACTTATTCACAACTGAATATTTATCAGAGCTAAAAGCTATCCGTTCATTGATAAGAGGAGAAAAGGAAAGATCAATAATGTCATAAGCCTTAATCGCCGCACGAGCAGAGAGGTGCCAAACAGACAACTGGGAGTAAGAAATGGAGGAACACGGAAAAAATAGGAAGCCTTCATTTTATCTTTTTCAACTAACTCAGACATTATCAACAATAAGAACAAACACATTTTCAGCAAATGCATGTGTTGATAAGAATAGGGTCCATAGGCACCCAAAGCAAGCAAGTAATACGATCAAACAAAAAGGACAGTGCATTGCAAATGTAACTGTTAACTGTATCTCACATTCATAGTGATGGACAGCTAGTTTTATGTTCTAAACTCCAGTATGACTGGAAAGAGGCAACTCTTCTCTAAATTGGCACGAACATTTCCAGTTTTTGAACATTTTTCTCAAAGCTGCATACACTTGGAAGAAAAACACACTAAGTGTTACTTTTAGTTCCAAGATAACTTCCTTAAGCCAAGACAACACTGCATAGATTCAGGTAGATATAAGAATCTTAATTGATGTAATATTAACTGTGACCAAGAGGAAACTTAGTAGCCAGTTTTAACATATTACAGTATCAACGAACTATTTCCTATTCCCTTTACTCAGAGAAAGCTACATGCATGAATTAAGGAAATGAAAAAAGACACAAAGGTACAACTAACATAAGAGATCAGCAGCAACAGATGTTGATCATATATTTTTAAGAAAATCGAAAGTAAATAAAATTCAGATGCAGATGATTGAAAATGGAACAACACATGCAATATTTCGAGCAATATTTTGAGCATGAATCAAATGATGAAAGTGCTGCATCACATTCTGCTAGGCCAATGTTACTGTCCCGGATACCTAGATCAGTTACCAAAAGTGAATGCCAGTAAAAGAAGCTCCATGGACATCAAACTTGTTCACTACACCTGGATATCCTCTTATTAGGAGACAGCTTCATCACCAGCCAGTACGTGAATTACGATACACGCAATATAAATACCCTATTTAAGAGATTCCAACATGACAGTCAGAATAAATCTCACGTACTAGACAAACAGAGATTTGATAAGTTTGTATATTTAAAGCATAAAATCCTTAGCAGTTAGATCAATAACAATCTGAATCCATGCAAGAAAAAGAAGAGGAAAAAGAATCCAGCACATAAAAGTGATAGTGCCAACAAAATGTGTGACAATACCTCCGTTTATCCTAAGGATTAAGCAATTGTGAGGTAATTCTCCAACTCGAGAGCACTCCAAAATAAAAGGCAGTTTTGGCATATTTTTCTTGAGAATCTCAAACAAAACTAGGTGTATCTATTTTCATATATAATGGCAAAATTTAGCTGCATGGCATAGATTTTTGGCACCATTAGCATAAAATACATCAGATATGCAATCCAAGCACTCAACACTAAAGCAATCTAAGTTACTTGAAAGCATTAATTCACTTTATATCAACCAATGAAGTGTTTGTTTATCATCTGATGTTGTAGTATCAAATTTGGCACTTATCATTTGATCCATTAGATATTAGCAAAGCTTGAGCACAAAATTATACTGAGAGGGATACAATTAACATTAAATAGTATCCTACAGTAGCCCTTATCCAAGACACCCATTGACTGTTGGCATCAAGCCATCAGGTCTATCTTAACAAGGGTTTTGTAACAGCTCATAGGGTTCAAGTGCTATATTACTGGCATATCTGACATTTGGTTAGCATTTCTATCATCTTAACCAAGCCTTTCCATTAACAAAGATTGCAATTGCTTCAACGGATTAAAGGGTATGTTGTTACATAGTAACACTATACTCAAGCAAATACCATCAAAACAACAATAAGCTAAACCATATCACTTTACAGCAAACGAGCCAGCAAAGATTTATGGATCCCCTGACAAGAGTTGACTTAGGCAAGAAAGAAACACAGATGCCACTATAGGCTGTTTTAGGTGTGATTACTTTAATGGACTGATCTGACCAGATACATATTAGACAAGTGAAGAATAACGTAAAATAGTAAGCTTAACAAGTTGAGGCAAGATTGATTCCGAACAAGTGGTTCCCCGTACAAGGGTCAAGAGATTTTTGTTAATGTTAATCTGGATTTCTAATAGTAACTATTTCTTTACCCTTATACTGGAGGATTTCCTTTCTCCAAAGTCTATCATGCCTTCACTATATTTAACCACCAAAGTAATAATTAAACTCACGACAAAATATAAACAAAGGAGTAGATAGTATTTCTTACAGCCACTTCAACATAGTCCTTGGGACGTCTGATTTTGATTGAAGACCCAGAGAAATAGCTACCATTGAAAGAAAGAGCTGCTGAAGCATCCTCGGCTGTCAGAAATTCAACAAGTGCTTGACCTTTTTCTTTATTGATCTGCGAAGATTATTTTATATCTGCAAATTTCAGACAAAATCCTTGGAAAACTTAATCTATTTTATTCACCAAGAAGTAAAGTGACTTACAATGCAGCTGATACATGGTTGCGTTCCGGGAACATGATTAACACCATAAGAAATCAAACAGTTGCTAAGAAAGTCCATAATAGCTTTCTCTGAGGCAGAGGCTGGTACATTTTCCACATAAAGTCTCCGTATAGGACGAGTAGATTGTGTTAGTTGAATAGAGTCAATGGTAGTATTCTTGTTTGTTAATAGAGTGCTAGGTGATGCCCCAGAGATGGCCTTTCCTGCATCTAACGAACTAGGAACAGTATTGACTAGTTCACGCATAATCGAAGATAATTGCTGACTAGATAGCAAATTGTTAGTAGGAAGAGAGGCAGATGACGTTTTACTGTTTACTTTTGGTGCAAGATCCCACCTAGCACTTTTCTTTTCAGGAGAGCGCTTGGTTGGGGAAGGAGTTCTAACAGCTGCCTCACTTTTCCTTTTCCTTGGGGAATAGCCACCAAGCCCACTAGCAGCGTTGTGTTTGCCATTAACAATATTTCTCTCTTCATCATTAAGATGCAGTCTCTCAGACCTGCCCTTAGAATGAGAGGACAGACCATCACGGTCCCTTGTATGGTAAGAATCACGCTTCTCCTTTCGTAATGAGATAGAAGCAGAACTCTGATTTGTTTCCTCATGTTCTCTACTCCTAGACCGTCTTCGCTTAAAACCCGACTCTCTGTAATGAGATTTTGACAATTCCTTCCTACCATCTCTCTCAGAAGAATCTTTTACAGAGTCATATTTCTTTACAAGTTCTTGCGTCTCATTTTGCGCTTTTCTGTTTTCAAGCTTTCGCCTGTTGTCATCTGTATGTTTGTCCCTCTGCATATAATCTCTTGAATGATGCTTTCGCACTTCACTTTCCGTAACATTTCCAGACCTCCGATCGTGTTCTCTGCTTCTAAGAGTTATATCTGATGCCTTCTCAGCTCTACCCCTACTCACATCCCCATGCCTCTTCATTTCCACCAAGTTCCCGGAATGCTTCTTAGCAGGTTCATTCCCAGAAATATCAAAAGAGCGCTTCTGAGGATGCCTCCTGCCAGCATCATCCGCCCTTCGATATTGTCCTCTCCTTCCATCAACATATCTGTCCTGTACCGAATCTCTCAGCCGCTGGTCATCATCTTTTCTCCCGCTATGGGTTTTTCTGTCATCCTGGCTTCTGGTTTCAGGCATCACCACATCTTTGTTAATCTGGGACATCAACTTACGTCCGACACTTGCAGGTTGGATTTCTCTATCCCTTCTTTCAACTCGACACTCATCTTTAACCAAAGTCTTCAATTCTTTCGGCGAAGAGCTTGACTTCACACGTTCAGCCACTGAGCTCTCTGGTACAGCAGACGATGAAGCCTTGCCATGCCCATTAACCCTTTCCAATTGATCCCCAGAAACAAGTGCCACAGCTTCTGCGCTTTCATCTGTCTCGGCCAGTTTTTTCAAATTTCTTCTGTTCATTATCTCATCAAAGCTGAACGGTCTTGTTCGTGCAGAGGTTTCCTCTCCATCGCTTCCCAGGGAGCTCTCACTACACACCCCATAATCTTCTTTACGCCGACCATGTCCACTCATTGCGCCTAATGATACTAATTCCTAGCCCCTAAAGTAACACGAAAACCATTCAGGCACTGCCCAGCAGTGACATTATCGAAAACACCCGCAGTGAAGTCTCCCCCAAAACTAAGAAGCAAAGGGAAAAGGGATTTGAATCAAAATCAATTCTTGATGGCATCATCAATCCACAGCTGCAGAATCTTGGAAAGGGGAAAGGCTGAACGGGAGGAGGAAGCTTTACCTGGGAATTGCTCAGAGATAGGGCAGTACAATCACATGGCCGACGCGGGAGGCCAAAGCAGCAGCATCAGCAGCAGCAGCAGGAATTCGCAAGTGTGGACGGAGGAGGGAGGATAAGTCCAGTAGGGTCGAAATCCAGAAAACCTAACCTAGCTGTAGAAGAAGGGGAAAAGAGGTAATCACAGTACTCCGCAGTCTTTTTCCAAATTCCCCTTTTCTTCTTCTTTTTCCAATCAGGCAATCACAATGGACCAACGTTGCTAAACCGGTTAATACCGTTCAACCAGTTGGGCAAGTGATATGATTCAATTGGTGAAAAAACCAGTTCATGTAGGTTTTAGCAAACATATAGGAAAGAGAAAAATTATTAACATGAAATGAATTAGACATATATATAACATATATGAAGACAAGTAATATGATTCAATTGGTGAAAAAACCAGTTTATATCAGTTCATGTCGGTTTTAGCAAACACGTAGGAAAGAGTGTATCAATAATCCAGCTGATTAGGCGATTCTGTTTGCCACGTCAGCACTTAACGGACTTAATTAACGGAGTTGGACGGAGACTAACGGAGAGTGACCAAACGTGAACGGTTTCAGTAAACTAAAGTACCACCAATGGATTTAAATATTTCGAGTGACCAAACCTGAACGTTATCTGTAATTTCAGTGACCAACCATGCAATTAACCCGACATATATATAACATATATGAAGACATTCTTCCTAAAATATACCATTTCAAACAAAATAAAAAAAATTATCATATTTAAATACATCATTTAACGCCAACATCTAAAAGTTAACAAATAACATCAACACTTAACTTTCAAATTTAATAAATAAATTGGATTTTCTTTTTGTTCATTGAATTCTCGAAAGGACAACCTTTTGTTTTAACGTCGGGAATCGGTCATGACTTTAATATTGGGGACATTCTAGTCGGTTCTGTAACCTGTACTGGTTGGCATGTCACTTACATGACAACCATGAAGTAGACGGTACTATTTGGAGAAATTATTCACTTCGAAATAAATAGTAGGGGTGGGCAATTGGCAGGTTGGGTGGGTTTTGGTATCAAATTGACCCACCCGCTTACTAGCGAGTTGGAATAATTGTGATCCGCAATCCACCCACATACCTCTGCGGGTTGGGATGGGTGCGGTATGGTCGTGGGTCAACCCGCAAAAGCAATTCTCCAACTAGTCATTAAGAAAGTTAACTAGCATTTATAATAAGTTCATAGCAAATTAGTAAGAATGTATCAATAATTTGTGATATTGATAATAATTTATAGTTTGCATCTCAATATTTAATTGATATTACCAATAATTTGCATACAAATATCCAAATATCTAATAGATATTGCTAGGGGTGGGCACGTGGGTGGTTAATCCGCGGATTGATATCGATCCACCCGCAAATACCCAACTCGCACACAGTGGGTTATTGATGTGGGTGGATTGCGGACTGTTAAATCTTCCACCCGCACTTATGTGGGTGAATGGTGGGTGGATTGCGGGTCATCCGTTTGAGCCGCGTCCTATTTTTACATGGAAAAATGTTGTTTCTTATAGGATCGAATATTCATCATATTTTCGAACTGCACTATAGTCTGACCGTATACTTCAAAATGTGGAGAATAAAGAATAATTTTGACTACTATTATGGTTATTGTGTTGTGCAATATCCATTGGATATTTGTATGCAAATTATTGTTAATATCCATTAAATATTGGGATACAAACTATAAATTGTTAATTGTATCAAAATCACAAACTATTGGTACAATCTCACTCATTTGCTATGAATTTATTATAAATGTTAGTCAATTTTTTTAATGGCTAGTTGGAGAATTGCTTTTGCGGGTTAACCCACGACCCAACTGCACTCATCCACCACCCACCCAACCCAACCCGCATAAGTATGTGGGTGGATTGCGGGTCACATGTATTCCAACCCGCTAGTAAGCGGGTGGGTCAATTTTAGACCAAAATCCACCAAACCCGCCCATTGCTCACCCCTAGATATTGTACAACACAAAACCAATCATAGTAGTCAAAACTATTCGTTATTCTCCACCTTTTAAAGTGGTCAGACTGTAGTGCAGTTCGAAATATATGATGAATATTTTATACTATAAGAAACAACATTTTTTCATATGAAAATAGGATATGGGTCATACGGGTGACTCGCAATCCACCCACCACCCACCCACATAAGTGCAGATGGAAGATTTATCAATCTGCAATCCACCCACATCAATCACCCATTGCGTGCGGATCGGGTTATTTGCAAATGGATCGATATCAATCCGCGGATTAACCACCCACATGCCCACCCCTAATAAATAGACAACTATCTAAATGAAAATTAATTTTTACACAATTATTACACTTTTAAATTCTTTCAACAAAGATTAATTACACGGTTCACACATCTTCGAACACATAAGGATGTGCGATATTTATTTTTTTGTGTTTCTTGACAATCTACGTCAAATTACACTTACTCCTAAAATCTATAGAGGTGCAATGAGAGCTCCAGAAACTACTAACATAGCTAATTTTCATAAAAAGATAAAAACTTGACATGTATATCAAAGTTGTAGTTTTGCGAATCTTGTATTAATCAACCCTCTCTTTTATTTATAGCCAAAGCATGTAATTTTCTCGAAGAACTATTTCCTCTACCTTTGCCACTTCATGATGCTATGTGGTGGCAAAGGTGATCTTGCATACCAAATGGTTCGCACACATACACTCTACCATACTAAACGTGCACACTGCTCTAGACATCTGAAGATCAAACATATTAAACTTTAAGTATATTCACTCATAACACTACACTCTCCTCATCTCAAACATTAAACAATCAAGAAAACATCAGTTAAAACACACAAGGAGCTACAAGCTAAGCCAATTTGAAGAGCAAAATGGCAACATAGAAGGCTCCCAACACACACAAATATGCAAACTCATCGATCATTTACAATCACCTCACAAAGCATGTCGAATATGTAATCCATTCACAATCGATAGACCATAAATACATGAAAAACATACAAGTATTAGTAACCAAGTATAACTACATTCCAACACTTAAGTAGCTCATTGTGCCCAATGGATTCATGTCAAACCATGAGGTGGGGTAAGCATATTAGGGCTAAGAAATAAAGAATTTTTTTTTTTTCCATTTGTGTTGATATCATATTGTATTTATCTATGTAATTTGTAAACCTATGTACAGTCATGAACTTCTATGTACGGTGTATAAATAGCTCATGATACATCAATGGAACGTTCAACTTGACCCGATCCATTCCATTTTTTTTAATTTTTGAGAAACTTCCATTTACGATCTCTTTTTTCCTTTACTGCTAATCACATGTTTGTGTTTTGTTAGGGCTAATACATTTGAGAAACCAGAATTATCAAGAAAGTGTCATTTATGTCCCGAACTATTTAATATTCCGAAAATGTCCCAACCTGTTATAGTTGTGTGTCATTCATGTCCTGGCGATTTCGTTGACCGTTATAAATAACGGTTGACCAGACGGTGTTCAACTTGACATTGACTTTTGATGATGTGGCAAAAACATGGCAGCCAAGTAGATGCCACGCCATTGACACCTCATATTTTTAATTCAAAATTAAATAAAAATTAGACATTCTTTTATATGGAAAATAATAAAAATTAATATTATAAATTCCACGTTAGATGCCACATTTAGGGCTGGAAGTTTGGTATCCGTATTTGATATATACTGAATATCGTACTGAATTTGTCGATATATGGTATTACCGAATACATGAAATTTTTTATGGGATTGAGATTGGGATTGAGTTTCAATTGTAATATGGTATTAGGGATTATAGGATTAGGGTTGGTATATACCGAATAGTACCAAAAAATAATATAAAAGAGTGGTGCATTTTAACATTTAAACTAATATCTCCTCAGTCCTCACACATTTTTTACCTGCCGTTAATTGCCAACTGAAATATGCATAACCCATTACCAAATTTTAACGACCCATACAATATTACAAAGCCCAACGATACTCTTTCGGACTTTGAAAATTCCTACGACTAGTACGGGACAGCTAGCGGCCAATCCACACGCCACACCTACTCTCATTGCACTAAAAAAAATCTAGGTCAGTATCTTCTCCCAGTTCGCCTCTCTCAAATCACAATTACTAATCAATTCGGCGAAGAGCAAGCAAGCGACAACCACCAAAAGCAGGTCAAGAAATGGAGAAATTATTCATGCCCATGTAGCTTCAGTTTTCTCATCTCCAAATCTCGATCGGCAAGTTGTATGGGAAGCAACTAATATTAAACAATCAAATTTCCTAGCTCTAGGCAAACTCCAACTCCTTGGTTGGTCTCTTTGTTCTAAATTAAATAATCAAATTTAATTTATATATTTAATTATTAATTGTAAATTTAACTAATTTTGTATTTAATAATACCGATTGGGATACCGGAATACCGATTGGGATACCGAAATATTTAGGGATTGGGATACCAAAATTATTAGGGATTGAGATTGGGATTGATTTTACGATGTAACTATGTATTCGAGATTTCAGTATTTGGTATTGGCTACCGATATCGTACCGATTTCCACCCCTAGCCACATCAGTGATGACCAGACTTTTTGTTAAAAACTAAAGGTCAAAGAAGGTCAATTTTAACGGAAAAATAATTTAAGACGTATATGAAATGTTGAATAGTTCAGTACACAAGTGACACTTTTTTTATAGATCAGATTTTCCAGTAGTATTAGTCCTTTTTTATCATAAGCTCCATAGTCAATTCACCCGCTTCCGACAGTCTATCCCCAACAGAGGATGATGCATTTATCACGTTCAATCCTGCCACACCAGTGAACTTCTCCTCCACGAGCTCAAATAGAATCATTCATAGTGGGATTGGATCTTATCAGATATACCAACGATTCTTGTTCTGCTCCACTAAACATTGTCAATTACACCGAATCCCCAATTCAGCTTACCGTACGTGGTATCATCAAGATAAGTTTACTCTCCATACTCTTTGATGCTCTTTATCTGAGTCGAATTATCCATATGTCTTTCTTTCCATGTCAGATTTATTTGATGCTTTATAGTTTAATACACCACCCAAATGTCAAAGAAACAACTTTTTTATAAGCGAACAATCACATAATGAGTGACATGAAAATTTCAAAACCCTTTTCAAAGGGAGAAGTAGAATTGACCAAGATTATGTGCTAGAAAGAAACCCTCTTCCAAACAGGTTTCTAACATCAGTTCCCTAGTACTAATAACCGTCAGTTGTTCTAACTTCTATTAGTACAATGAGCCAAACTTTTACATTGTTTTCCTCTTGTGTTTATGTACTCTAGTAATCAAGGTCAACTAAATATTAAAAATTCTATGTAGCTGCCTTGCCTTCCTGAAATGAAGATTCATGTAAAAGGGGACTAAATCCCACCGAATTGGTTTTTCGCATCTCATCACTTCCTTTTGGCTAACTGGAACGATTTCTTCAAGAATTGATTCGCTACTCTATCATTCCTGTGGCATAAAACTCTCAAGATTGTGTTTGGATCCCCTCTATTCCATCTCCCTGTAGTTGGTGGCATTGGTAGTTTCTGCCCTGAACTCAAGGCTCCTATGCCGCTTGTTTCGCAAGCAGCGTTGCTGAAATATTCCATTAGTTGCTCTGTGGATTCACCCATCAATGCAATCACACCTTCCACAATCTCACCTTCCCTTTCCACGAGGTCCTCATTCATCAACCCTTCACCACAAGTGCAGAACATGCGTTTCAAGCTTTGAAAATCTTCCTCGATCATGTTATGATCGGTTTTGTAGAACACCCTGGAGCACCCTCCGGCAAGCAAAACCATGAGGAAGGCCTCGAATGTGGCCTTCATTACTTCTTTCACGGCTAAGGATTGGGCTCGGTCGGTTAGGATTGCACTCATGAGGGTGATGTTTTGTTTGAGGATTCTGAGTGCTGGTTTGATCCTCGCATTGGCTACATCGATGACATAGAGCGATTCATATATCACCGAGCTCGAGTCGAGGAATATCAAGCGATAACCAGCCACTTCTGATACATGCTGACAGGCAGATTGGATGGATGCATGGGCTTGCTCAAAGTAAGAGGAGATACTGTGTTGTCGACGACTGTTACGTGTTCGAGCCGAATTAGACCTTGGAGCCAGGGCAAGGGTCTTGTCCAGTGCGTGCAGGTGAGAAACAAGGTAATGCAATGTGTTGAGTCGGATGTAGAGACGTTGTGTCCCACGGCTCGTTGATGCTCGCGGATGATGAATTTCATTGAACTCATTTTGGTGAAGATCCTCTATTGTCACAGTGCAAGGAGCTGCTTTTTTCCATATTTTGAAGAATTTTGAGTCTCGATTGCATCTGGTTAGTGGGGGAAGAGTTGGAAGATAGCTTTGTTTTGATCCTGCATAGTGGTACATGAATTCAGTGAGAACAACACCAAATATGGTAAGATATTGAGTGAGTTATTGATTTGATTTACATACCACAAGCTGTCACAAAGTTGGCATATTCTAGAAACAACTGCTCAAGACCTTCTGCAAGGGCACAAATGAGATCGTCTGTAATCCCAATGGGGGTTTCGAAGAACTCTTCCACCGTTTCTGTGGCAATTTTGATGAGTTCCACAGCTGATTGAGCATAAGGCTCATTTTTGGACTTGGGATTCCATGTCTGCAAACGATATACATGTTAAGATATAATTTCCTCTAAACATTGTAATTTCTTCAAGTAAGTTGTACAATTATTTACCTCGGACTCTTTTGCTCGAAGAACACATTCTCCCCCAATCTTCAACCTCTCTTGAATCCATTGCTTCACCAGTTTGAGTATGATTGAATCAACCTCATAAGGAGCCATCTCTCTAACAATGTTCTTGCCTCCATCTTCGGACTCCTCGGAGTCCTCAACAACCATTTGAACCAATGCTTTTTCAAGCTTGGCAGCCCTGTGGAGAACATCCACTGTTTCATGATTCAATACAGTCACGCCAGCTAAATACTGCTTCAATACTGCTCCATAGCATTGGTGTAGAGTCACTGATGCAATACTCGCAGCACTTGAGTTCCACTTTTTGAGAATGGAACTAAAACATTCCCTCTCTCTTAGTGCTAAATCCTCCGTCTCTTTAGCCAACTGAAGTAGTGCCTCAGTCGCCTCATCCTTTACTTCCAATCTAGTGCTCTTGTAGCTTCCAGTTTCTATGATCTACCAAACACATATATTCAAACCAACGAGAGAATTCACTATATGAGATCAACCCTTTCGATGAATGAATCATGGATTTCCCTGAGGAATGATTTGAGATGGAGATCGTATAGATTGGAGCATTACCTTGGCGAAAGCATTCTTGATTGAAGCTCGAATGTAAAGATCAACTCGATCCTCAGACGAATTAGCGACCATCCTAGTGTTTCTCTTCTTCTTCTCTTTCCCTCCCACCCCTTCAATAATTGAAGCATCCTCTCCCAAAATCCTGGACGCAGATAGAGCCAAGGGCAACAAATTCTCAATCAAAACAACCGTCCCTCTTTGGAAATAATCATGGTAGTGGAGCAACCTCCTCTCAGCCCACCCTTGCATCGACTCCAGCATCAAAGACAACAACTTCACATACAATGCCTCCCTATCCGGCCTCCTCGAGTCATTGGCGACCTCCGTCGATAACATGGTGTGCGCTGCGTAAAGCAAGTCTGGCTCCGTCTGTGAAGTCAGCACGTACTGCTGGAACAACACCCACGTGAAGCATAGGTTGTGAATCGGACGGCTGATCCCTAGCGTCGTCCATGTCTTCTTCATGAGCTCCGTCAGCTCATCGACCTCGTCGAGAACCATCGTTTCTTCGCGAACGTCGAAGATGGAGCGAAGCAGGGCGATGTAGATGTTGATGTTGAGAGGGTAGCCATCGGCCCAGTGGCAAACATCGGTGGCGTTGCTGTTGCTGCTCCGCCATGAGAGGGAAACCACGGTGTTGCAGAGGGCCCTCATTGTCTCGGAGTTCTTGCTGGTGTCCACGGGCCGAGTCTCGCTGGAAAGAACAATCTCGCGAAGGCGAACGGCGTGGGTGTTGGATTTGTCTAGCGGGACGGAAGGGTGGATGAGAAGACCGCTCTCCAACACCTTGAGTTGTCGTCTCTGCCATATGTGGTACTCTGGACCGTCGTTAAACTCTGATGGCTTTAAATGGCGGAGAAGCTCCAATGGTAATATTATTGTCTCTGCTCGTCTCCCTAACTGTAACCATTTTCCAAAAAAACCCAAAAATATTAATACAAGTTTTTTTATACGTATTTTCATTAGCCTTATAAAATGAATGAAACAAATGTATATATACAACAGAACGTTACTTGGCCAACAAGGGTTCGCATTAGAGTTTTGCGAAGCCGGTTATCACTCTGTTCCGTCACTCTCATCTGAAGCCTCATTATCTCCGCCGACGTTAATGGTCGCCTCGCCCGCACCGGTTGCAACGTGGAGAACCCAATGTTGGGGCTACTAAACACCGTGTGATGTTGCGGAGTGCTTGGAGAGTTTGGCGCTGAACCAGCTGCACCGCCGCCACCACCACCTCCTCCGCCACCGCCGAGACTCGACATCCTCCTTGATGGTGATCTCTTGAGCATTTTCAAACCCAAAGCTCGCTTGATTTTACTAACCGGAGATGTAACCACGACAGCGCCACCACCACCACCGCCCAATCTCCCTACCGACGATGAAGATGACCCGAATGACAAAGACCCGAATCCTCCTCCTCCTCCTCCTCCTTCTCCTCCGCCGCCGCCTCCGCCACTATCATGATGGGTGGAGTAAAATGACAGGGCGTTCCTCCCGCCACCGAATCCAGGGGACGACCGACACGCCGTGAAGAAAACCTCGTAGGCAGTTTCGCGGATGTCGTCGGCGTCTAGACCATCAAGGTTTCCGAAAGGCCAGGTGAGGTCGGCGACAACGTCCTCGTCGATGGCGGGGAGGGTCCCGGAGAAGGAATCTGCATGGTGGTGGTGGTGGTGATCGTGGTGGCCCGCCGCCATCGTATTAAAATTTTTCTTTTAACAAATTAGCAGCAAGAGAGCATGCAGCCGCCGACGACCTAGGAAATATTGATGAGGCGGGGAGTGGGAAGCGGCTGCCGGCGGTGGATGGGGGTGTTTTTTTTTTTTTAAGTATCCGGCCGGGAAAAGAAGGGAGAGAATAGGGCAACCATTTCAAAGAAGAGATTTTGGAAGGAACAAGGGGAATTAAGAGAAGAAGAGATTGATTTTGTGATGGATGTTTCAGGAGACAGAATTTGTTGCAAAAAGGAGAGGCTATTAGAATTCTCGAATTGGGTGTTTAGGAAAGGAGGAAAAATTTGTTGCGATGAGGAAAATGAGGAGATTAATGCAGGAAAAGATTTGACGGTGTGTCGGACGACAGCTGATTTAGGTCATTTCCGATGATTTCTCCTTTGTCATTTTTTTTTTTGGATAAACTTTAGTCTAAATATGAACACTTCCATTTATGTGCTCCAAAAAAAATTTAATTTTGTTTTACTCAAAATCCATGTGCTAAGCTTGCTTATAAATATTTGTGAGGATTGCACTAGAGATTTTTTTTTTTATCCTTTTCTTTTATTGGAGCAACTTCATATTTGTAAAAATTCACTAGAGATTCTAACGTACTTGGTTTCTCTGTTGCTAGCAAAAATCTGGGGCTGGGATTCGACGAAAAGTTCATCAGAACCTGGGTATACTACTTCAACTGTGCAGCTAGGTTCAAGACTCAACACTCTTGGCAAATATCAGGTAAACTTGAATCGATTGCCTCAAATCCCTCATCAATATCGCAACTCCAACATCTCCTACTTATCATACTGCATCGGTTCCTAGAAATACAGTATTCATGCGAGACACTAAATGCAAGCATAAACCATAAGCACATACTACTGCTGCAGAGTCTTAATGCCCAAAAGACTGAACATTCAGACACAACGATGCATAATGCTGATAAACGTGACTCAATAGATGACTGGTTAGATAGATTCGACCAACATTTCATTCCACTCATTGATTTCATTCCAATTCCCCACTGCATTTCTAGTAACCAACTAATGAATGTATAACCTAAACAATTAGATTGCATGAGCTTCAGACAAAACTCTGCCATCTGCTAAAGGCAGCGTACCACAATTTTTTTTTCTGCCTCACAAATATGCAGCAGCCCACCAGAAATGCCAAGAATCTGCAGCAAGGAATTGAGCTTGCAATCTCAACCAAAAACTCCTCTCAAATTCCATCCACTCGGTTGCTGGGGCAAAAAAACCACCCAAACTCTGAATATACCCCCACATGAATTTGAAAGCTCGGGTTCAGCCGAAGAGTGGGCATTTTCGACACCACCTTTTGAACTCGAGCATCTCCTCCTGTACAAACACAAAGTGCAACAAATAGAGCGGGGGGAAATGATTATGCCATCCTCAAAAGTGATAACTACCGCTAGCTATCTTTATCGCTACCCATCTACCAACCAGTCTCCTTGCTTCAGTGCTATCACAGAACAAAGGGTCTTCTACTCATCTCTATATCTCATTCTGCATCAAGCATATCTAACCTCCAGTTTTGCAAAGGTTTCATGGCAATTGCTAGTTAGAAGTCACAAAGATGATAGTGAGTTAATGTGTACCAAAGAAAGAAAGGTTGCATGCAGTCATGCACACTAAATCAAACACTACGGTAGAAAGAGAAAATCCACAGCAAATATAGCAGACATAATATAAGCAAGCCAAATTAAAGCTACACTCAGCAAACAAAATATTAAGGGCATCCGAAAATGTCATAACAAAGCTACTTATTAGATGTACTACTAGCAAAATAGGTAGTGCAAACTACTGGGATTAAGCAATCCAACCAGCGTCTCCAGAGTGAATCTCTATCCAACTTTGAGCCAGCATCATCGCATCAGGAACACACACAGAGCACTAGATGTTGAAGATCCACCCACAATATCAATGTTGTTGACCTTGTCGAGCCGGAGCACTTCCATAGCCACCACCACCATAAGCAATCTGACTACTGTGAGCACCACCATTAGCTTGTGATCCATAGTTCCCAGAACCTTGTGAGGACTCGGAACTCCATGCTGCATTACCATATCCTGCACTCCCATTTGCATCACCATAACCACTGCCCCCATATCCTCCTCCATTACCCTGTAGTTCTCCAGGAGTACTAGTCGGAGTACCACCTGACCTTCCTCCAACAGCACCATAACCAGCTGGATTCCCATAAGACCCATCATTTGCCCCATAGCTACCATATCCATATGCTTGATTATACCCACCAGGTCCAGTAGGTGTTTGGCCTGTTGGAGTCGACCCTGGGCCACCGCTAGCAGCACCACCTCCATAGCCCATAGCACCATAACCAGGGGTAGCTTGATTATTCCATGAACTTCTAGGAGCACCAGGTGGACCACTACCATATCCAGCATTTGGTAGATTGGGGTTTCCATAGGCTGCGCCTGCTGGGGCCCCATACCCAGCAATAGCACCACCATAGGCTCCATAGCCACCATATCCGACTCCAGTGCTTGCAGCAGCACTGTAACCATACCCAGGTCCACTGTATCCCGAAGATGCATAAGGAGGATATCCGCCTCCAGCTGCCTGGGGCTGCATATACCTCATTGAATCCATTCTACCATCATATGAGCCAACTGCATTCCCACCAGAAGCGCCATAGCTTTGATAACTACCACCACCAGCACTACCACCCATGGAAGAGCGACTGCCTCCACCAGGATTGGCATCTTTAGGAAGAGCCCGCTTCACTTCCACTTGCTTCCCGTTCACATCATGAAATGTTTTGTGCAAAACTCGATCGACTGAATCCTCGGATTCAAAGGAAATAAATCCGAACCCACGTGGCCGCTGTGTGTTTTGGTCATACATGATTACTACATCAGTCACATGTCCATAAGATTCAAAATATTGGCGGAAGCCATCTTCGGTCAATGAGGGAGGCAATCCACCGACAAAAATCTTTTTGGTCCTAACATATCCACCGCCACCACCACCGGTGCTTCTAGCAGAATTTGAATTCCCAGTTTTGACATTGGTTTGCTGCTCCTCTCTTGAGAGAGCCCTTTTTGCCTCAACCTAATGGCCAAAACAAGATGATTGAAGGAGGAAAATTACATACAATCCAACTGAAAGGATCATAAATAAATATATGAATTAAACACATCCATTCCTCCACGTAGAAATATCCACACAAGTTATACAACGAAAAAGGGACTTAGTAGAGGTGTAGGCAAATGGTATACGCACAAAGCCACTTAATTGCAACCGCAAATGAGCTGCCAACAACCGAAGCCATAATACACCATCACGAATAAGTCAGCAAGCAAGCAAACAATTCAGAGCAAAGTCAGCAAACAGCTACTCGAATTAGCATCCAAACTAATCAAATCACATAACACACCTTCAAAAATCAACACTATGAACACAAAACAAACACCCACAACCCTAAAACCCCCAAACCCACAGTAGCAGTACCCTACACCCACGAAAGAACCAATTTAATTCAACACAAGAAACAAGTGCTGAACTTTCTTTTCCCTTCCCGGGAGGGTACTTTTTCCCAACCCACGACTCACCGTTCTACCATCAATGGTGTGCTGATCCTGAAGAACCCTATCGAGAACGGAAGGCTCAGCGAACACGACAAACCCAAACCCCCTGGGCCTGCCGGTGGTTTTGTCCCGCATGACGGCAGTCTGCAGGACGTCGCCGTACTGACCGAAGTGGTCCTTGAGCTTCTCCTCCGACGTCTCCCATGAAATCCCGCCAATGAAAAGCTTCCCCTGATCTGAATCCATGTGTAGAACTGCAACCTTCTGACCGAGGAAGCTTCGAATTCGAGATCGGGCGGCGAGTCTCTCAGCTGGGTCAGGAGGCGGGTTTTGGGAAGGGGGTTTTTGTGGGATTTGCTGGCTGGATGGAAGAAGAGGGGAAGAAGGGTTTCTGGGTTTCGGGAGGCGCGAGGGAGCGAAGAGGTTTACAGAGAGAGAGAGAAGGGGAAAGAAAGAATTATTAACTGAGAGGAGGACTGCAGCTTGGTGTGGAGGGAATATGAGGAAGAGTATGCCGTTTCAACGGTTGAGATTCGGTGTGAGGGAAATGAATGGTGGAGATTTATTTGTCGCGAGGTGGAGTCTGACGAGAGTGGTGTGAGATCTCTTTTCCTTCTTTCGTCTTCGCCAGTTTGGCCTCTGGATCACGTGGTGTGCACGTGAGAATGGACTTCTACTTCAATTGTTTTCTTCATACAAAATTAACTTATATTTTTCTTATGCATTATTTTGTGCTTCCAATGATGGGAGAATTTCTCCATGAATTCACAATTTGTTTTATGTTGATCATTAGAATGCCACCATGAATATACACAATTTGTTTTGTGTTGGTCATTAGGAAAATGCATAATGCATAATTTCATTTTTTATTACTGGTTGTTCTGTCTTATTTTATTAAATTCATTCTATTTCATCATCGATTGTCATTTTGGACATTTAATGAGTGGCGATCGTGTCGTTCCACTTCATTAAATTTATTTTATTTAATGATCACTTACCATATTTAACATTTAATGAGTGGCGTTGTTACCATCGTCGCATGAATTCAATCAAATTGTTTGACTGGAATTTTAGTTGATTACTGGTGGCGGTGAGTAATCAATCATCACTTATCTCTTGCATTGCCTTTTTCGATTATGGTGTTTAACATCACAACGCAATCCAAAGACAAGACTCCCAAAAAAAATTTACCTATGAAACTCTTAACATGTTAAGTACTAGATGCACTACACTACTGCATATTCACGCACTACTACATATACAAGCATAAACGCCACAACTCATGAGATCGTATTTCCTCGCAGTAGAACAAACCATATAGTACGACGTAGTCTATTGTTCCCGAACTAAGCATAACATCTGTATTTTGCTTATTTGATGTTATACCTTCATAACACTTAGGTGTTCCTATGATGCATCCTTGGATGATGAGATCATTTCACATGTTTCGAGCTACTAATGATATTCCAATATTGTAACACACTCAACCCCTTTGAATTCAGTCACCCCTATCTTAGGAAACAATAAACACCAAACTTTTTGCATAACACTTAACCAACAAAACTTATTGAGCAAGGTAGATTTATTAAGCTAGAAAGATATGTTTGTGTTGAGATTCGTTAACCATACACTATCTAAGTGTTTACTAAGTTTATCATATTCTATGGCATGTTCCAATAACTTGGAGTCCTCTTAGCTTTCCTAGTGCTTTATATTTACTCAAATCCATATGTTCTAAAAATCTAAATGATCTAATATTTGTGTGAGTTTATGCAACCTCACGCATGAATGTTCGCCATAAGTTTGGACATGTCCTCCATTCAATATTCAAATTGCCTACATATATTGCCCTAGTTTTAAGAAATCAATGAATTTTTAACCTAATACTCTATAAATCAATTATAAAGAAACTAATTATTTGATTATTTGATATGTTGATCGCCTGTGTATGGGTCGACTTATAGTTTTTTAAATACTTTTACTAAATAATTTCATTAAATTTGAAGAGTGAACAAATTAGGGACCAGGCAAATGAAAAGAGCACTAAACAATGGTAACTGGGAGAAGTCCGCCACATCGAGCCTAAAACAAGAGGAAAAAACTTAAACCACATCCGAGACTTAAACAAAAGAGATCTTGAGAAATCCTAGTTGAATTTTGCATCCTAAGAGTTATTCAATGACGTCGGAGTTCCTACCAGACACCAACTTCCAAGAGCTATGGAGTACGGAAGGCACATGAAGAGCAATCTCGAAAGCAAAAATTAGAAGAGATAACACTGGAAATCACCCAACCAAACAAATGACGAGAGAAAGATAAGAGAACAATGCGATTAATATCAAAAGTTCGTCTCCAATCTATCCTCGGTGGACCATTCACCAAAACTTTATCTCAAACAAACATAGGCATTAGGCAAGCGAAACCCCCCCTCCCCCCTAAGAAACAGACGATGGATGAAGAGACCACAAAGAAGTCAATTGGAGCCAAACAAGCTCATCTATATAAGAGGGCTATAACATTTCCGGATCACCATAAAACAGATTGACGGAAGAATTTTAGAGAAGACTTAGAGGGAAAATAGAAGATTTGATGTTATAAAAAAATGTGAACGATTTTAAACATAACCTGACTAATTAAACAAAACGTAGCTCAAACTTTACCTTGTTAGTGAAACTCGTTAGGTAACAAACCAATTGCCAAACAATGCATTTTTTTTTTGGATAATTACAATACATGTATTGCTCACAATGCATCGTTTTTTTTTTAAATTTTCTGCACAAATAATACATGCATTGTTTGCTCGATTTGACACAAACTCACTCAAAATGAGTGATAGTTAAATCTCAAGTTTTTTTAGAGATTGTTTGGTGGAGATTGTTGGGTTATTTTTAATTTCAAACTCTGTCTCTACCTTTTCATGTGTGTTACTTTTTTTATATTAACAGCATAAAAGTAACATTTCATCCAAAAAGTAATAACTTGTTTAAATCCTACAATAATTATCACAAAAATCAAACGATGTAAACTACAATACACCAATTTTCTTATATACATGCATATTAAATAAGTATACATGCATTAATAATATTAATAATCTATCAATTTAACTATCACTAAAACCACCAAAACTAAACGAATCCTTATTCATTTGTGTTTGAGACCCGTTACCCTTGTAAGACTCTCCTGAATCCTCTCTCGCCAGGCGCCGATCTGCACACACGAACAAGGAGGGGGCGCCTGGGCCCGTTAATCCTCCGACGCCCAAGTCAGTTTCTAGGAGGAGAGAAGTGTCTCAAAGCTAGAGTTCGTGAGCGAGAGTCCAACCTGTGTAAATGCTACCAACTGCCCCTATTTATACTTACCAGAGTTCGAGGTTGATCCTCTCTACCTCCCTGCCTTCATTCAATGCTTTGTCTCTTTCTGGCCAGACATCCCAACCACCTTGTCAGACTCCTGGCACGTGACAGGCGCCCGCAGGCACTGGACCACATGACAGTCTGGCCTCCTTTGGCTTCTTGTGACTTGTCTTCATGTGGCCTTCCTTTTACTTGGGCCCTGCCCCCCACTTGAGCTGTTTGGGAGCCCAAGTTGCCGCTCATTGGGCTTTGCTCATAATACCCCCAACAATTGCCCCCCCAGCTAGGTGCTCATTGCTCTGCTGCTGAGCGCTTAGCTGACTCGGTGGTTGCCTTGTCCCTCCTTAGGCGCCCGGTTTCCTGAGCGCCTCGGTCTCCTTGTTTTGTCTTTTTTGCCTTCTTTCTCTTTTCCCTTTTTCATAAGGCGCCTTGATCCCTGCGCGCCCTTATTCGGCTTCTTTTCGGGCGCCAGATTTAAGGCGCCTCAGTCCCTTATGCCCCCCTCATGGGCGGGCGTTTGATATGGGCCCCCACGTTTTTCTTGTTTGAATTTTGGCCATAAATTTATATATATATATATATATATATATTTTTTTATGTGGCCAAAATTCCCACAAAAAGGAAAAGGTGGGGGGGGGGGAGCTCAAAAGCCCGCCCTTGATGATGACACGTGGCACGCTACGCGCGTCTATCCTCCTGCTCCTCCTTTCCTTTAAATACCCCCCTCCCCATCAGTCCTTGTCACTTTCCACATTCTCGCCTCTCTCTAAGATTGTTGCTCTGACTTCTCTCTAGATTCTCTCTCACATCTCTCTAGATTCTTCTGCTTTCGTCAGCCTTTCCGTCCATTCGTCCGAGAATGACTTCACAAGCAGACAAAGTTGTCGGCCAGGGCGCCTCCACTGCGGGTGAAGAGGCTAGACCAGGCGCCTCGAACGCTGGCGGCGAGGCAAGGCGCCCCAGTCGAAGCGGTAAGGAATTTCCTTGCTCTATTAGTTGCGTTCCTTATTTTTATTCTAGCTCTCTAGGGTAGGGCGTCACTTACTCTGCGGCCGTATTGCGCCTGGGTCGTTTATTGGTTTAGAGAGGGTGCCTGCGTCGACGTCTGCGGGTCCATCAAGCGCCTCCACTCCGGGCTTCATGCCCGCCAATGGGTCCTACAAGATATCTGTGTGGGAGAATTCGTTTCCGCCCGATCACCTCCCGACGGAGACGGAATCGTTGTCTTTCGACGTAGCGGGCCCACAGCACACCTCTACCGTCACCTTGGCCCGTGTTCATGAGCTGGTGACCAGCCTCCAACTGCCCCGTGACTGGTGGTATGCGCCTCCTTTCCCTATCTCACGAGTGGGCATCTGCGGGCCTAAGTGGATAGGGGTGTATCAGGAATACTTCCGCTTCGGGCTGCGGTTTCCCCTTGATCACATAATGGAGGGTATTATGACGACCTGTGGCTGCCCATTGGGGCGCCTGTCTCCCTCGGTGATCATGGTGGTCATCCTCTTCAAGCTGCGCTGCCGCGAACATAACGTGGAGCCTACCTTCAACCTTTTTCGATACTTTTTCAAGATGGCGCCTCTGGATAACTGCTTGTCGCTTCAAAAGAGGAAGGGGCGCCCTTATCACTTTGTGGAGAAGTGCCCGAAGTTGGGGCGCAGCTGGTTTAACGGGTTCTTCTTCATGAAGGCATATCGAGACTCGTTTTTCGAGAGTGGGGGCGCCTTCCTGAGAGAGTGGAAGCTGGGGAGTGTAGAAGAGTTTAATACAGACGTGGAGTTGTCCCCCGCAGAAAGGGCAGGCGCCCCGCTGATTTGCGAGACGCGCGTAAACTTGCGCAAGACCGAGAATCGCCCTCCTATTTTGGAGGCGTATTATGATGATGATCCGTAGGCGCCCATATGTTGCGTCAATGTCTTTATTGCCTTGTCCTGTTGTTAATGAATGTTGCTTTGGTGCTAACTTACTTAGCGATGTGCAGGGTCAGACTTCACGAGCATTGCGAAGCTCATGAAGAGCCGCCTTGCTGCCATGGCTGGAGGAGCGCCCCCACCACCAAGGCCCAAGGCGCCTGTTGCGGCTGCTCCGGAACCGCAAGCGCCTACTGCTGCCCCCAAGAAGAAGAAGAGGGCGGTGAAGGGGGGTACCACGAAGACTGCCAGCGTGGCGTCTTCGGCGCCGGAGGAGGAGGAGGAGGCGCCCCACGTTGAGGCGCCCGCTACGGAGCCCACGGAGCAGGAGGGGAACTCCGGGGAAGAGGAACCCGAGCCCCTGGTTAGACGGGGGAAGCGGGCTGGCTCCTCTTTGGGCAATGTCAGCAAGAAGGCTGACAAGGGGAAGGAGAAGATGGGTGCCGGCGCCCGAAGCGGGGTAGGGGGCGCCTTCGAATACCATCTTACTGAAGAGGGGCAGTGGGTAGGCCCCGATGGGCGCCCCCCCATATTCCAGCCCACACGCGCCGATGTTGGGCGCATAGAGCTGCCATGTTCCCCATTGGTAGCTGTTGACAGAGGTTGTGTCATGGGCATGGCAATTACGGCTGCCAAAATGTGGCAAGTGCCGTCGGAGGTGAATGGGGATCACCTCTTTGCTGAACTGGCGAAAGTACTAACTCTTTGTATCTTGTGTGTGTAGATTCTTCTTTTTGCTGAGAGAGGCGCTCGAAGCCTCTTCTTCTGCCTCACAGTTGCAACGCGACCTTGATAACGCGACGGAGCGTCGCGAGCAACTTGTGAAGGAATGCGACAAGGCGCAAATGAATGCGGCCTTGCAAGTGTCGCAGCTTTAGGGCGCCCTCGACGAGGAGCGCAATAAGTCAGCCACCCTTCAGGCTGAGAAGGCGGCGCTGGCACAGGAGGCGGGCGCCCAGGCTAGCGAGATTGACATCCTAAAAGAGGAGAAGAAGAGGTGGCAGGACGCCTACAAGGAATGCAAGAAGGATCTGAAGGAGGCGCGGAAGGAGATCACCAACTTGCGCCACTCTTTGGATACCTTCGAGGAGTCCGAGAATGAGAGGAACATGAGCGCCAGTGCTATTCTGTCTGGCCTGCAGATCTTTCACGGCAAACTGGTGAGGGATCACCCTGATCTTACTTGGGATTTTACCGAAATCGCCGAGTATGTGATCGGGGAGTTGGAGACTCCACCGGAAGTGGGGAATGCGCCCCAACCATCCAATGCGGAGGAGCCTCCACATGACTCTGTTCCTGTCTCTCCTTCTCCTAAGGCGCCTAGCGCTGGTGACGACAACTCAGGCGCTGAGTGAGTGCAGATGGGCGCCCCATTTTCCTCTGTATTTTTATTATTATTATTATTTATTTATTTTTTT